AAAAAGGTAAAAATTTGAAGTTTAGAAAAGTGCTGTGAGGGGAAATAAAAAAGGATCCTATGAAGGAAACAAAAAGGCTCCTATGGTAGAGAATAGTCCAGGTTAGGGGAATCCACTAAGAAAGGGTAGCTAAGATATGTTAATATTCTTTTATGTAAAATAGCTATTAGTTATTGAGTCTGTATGTGTTAAGCACTATTTTAAGCCCTTTGCTGTAACTATGCAGTTAGCTAAAGATGGTGAAACTTAGAGACAAGGTCAAGAAACTAGTCCAAGGTGATAAAATATTAAGCAGTGAAGTCAGGAGTCAAACCAAGACTATCTGTTTCTAGGGTCCATACTTTCAACCACTACACTAAACTGCACTTTAAGAAAGCCCTTTTGAAGATATAGCATTGAAACTGAAGGTTGGAGAATGTTCGTGGTTTTTGTCTGTGTTCAGATATGATTCCCAAGTGGTCTTGTTTTTGTCTTGACATCATGGTCACAGAGTGATTTGTTTTTGGTGTTCTTTGAATTGTTTACCTTCACATGAGAACATCAAGGTCTAGCTGTGCATTCCAGGCCTGTTCCTGATGGTCAGGGGCTGCTTTTCTCTTTCTCAGCCCCTATTATGTAGGCATTGTGCTAGACGTAACGTGGATCCTGCCTCAAGAACTTGTAGTTTAGGGGAGATGTGGACAAGAATAAATAAGGTGGAAAGTTGAGTATGGTATGAGCAGTCTAAGTTTAGATGTATGCACAGGGTGTGGAGGAGTCCCAGAGCAGAGGCGCTGGCCCAGCTTAAACAGCCAGTTAATGAAGGCTTCCAGGAAAAGATAATGTTAGAGCCACGTTCTCGAGGATGAATAGAAGCTATCCAGGCATATGTGTGGGGGATGGGCTTTCTAAGCTCAGGGGGCAGTAAGTGCAAAGGCCTGGAAAGAAGAAAGCACAGGGCAGCCCGGGAGCTGCAAATAGATAAGTCTGGCTGGCGCTGAAAGTGAGGATATGAGTTGGTTAAGTGGGTTTGGGTGGAGGGTGGGAGGGATGGGTCTGGGCAGGGGAGAAAGAGATGAGGTTGGAATGGTAGGATGGGGCCAGATAATGAAGGATCTGCATGCCTTCACTATCAGAATCAAAAATTGAGTTTATGAGTCCTCACTGCTTTCCACAAAACAAAGCTTTTCATTGGAATTGTAGAATTGGATCTTTACAATGGCTTTAAAAGGCTTAAGGACTTCAGTTTCTTGAATAACTTGTGAGTAATAAAGCCATCATCATCTGTTCTCCAAGCAGGAATTTGTGGGGAACTAATGGAAGGATTTTAAGAGCAGTGTTCACTCTTGCTTCAGTGTGGCAACTGGATTGGAGGGGGGAAAAACAGGAGGGAGGAGACACAAGTTGGGCAACTGCCACGTTGATCCAGGTGAGAGATGGTGCAAGAGATGTTTTTAGGACAGGAGTCTAGATCACAACAGTTTCCTCTTTTCTGGAAACAGTGCCAATACTATGTGACCTTGTAACCCCCTGCCAACCCTGTGACTATAGTTGATTGGTTCTGGGTTGGCACCTGACACAGTCTGAGCAATCAGCCCTTTTCTGGGACTTTTGGATTTGGGAACAAAGAACAGTCCGCTTTCTCTGGTTTTAGAAACCAGATTTGGGGCTAGATAGCTGTTGGCAGCCATATTGCCACTTGTACAGAAGAATTTGGTCTGTAATGAAAGTAGAGTAAGCCAATAGAGAATAAAAATTCTGCTGGCATTTGAGGTCCAGTGGCATCCACCTTTCCTACATTTGGTTATGGGAAATAAACTAGCATTCATAAAGTAAATTTTCTGTTTTGCTTAAGATAGTTTAAATTTGTCTCTTGAACCCTTAGGAGTTTTGATTAGTGTAGATGGTGAAGGCCTGAAACTAAGGCACTGAGCATGGGGTTGGCTCATCTCAGATATTAGGAGGTAAATTGGACAGAAAATGGTAATTGTTGTACTCTGGAAAGAGCAGTTGATGCTTTGGTAGAGTGGATATGAGGGAGGTGTTCGAAACAAAGGGAGAAAATGCAGCTGTGGGGAGCAGCATGGCAGGTGGGGGCAACTTTGAGTGCTTCAGCTCCGCTGGGCTGTAGGATGGGGTGGGGCTGGTGAAAGAGACAAGCATGGTAGGTGGAGCCAGATCCTGGATGCCTTAATGAGGTCTGAGACTTGATCCTGTAAGAAGTGGGAACAAGCGAAGGTGCTGGATGTTGGTGGTGACTATTAATAAAAATCTCTTACTGGATTCCAATGATAAAAGTATTACATTCTAGGGGCTGGCCCCATGGCCTAGTGGTTAAGTTCGCGCACTCCGCTGCAGGCGGCCCAGTGTTTGGTTGGTTCGAATCCTGGGCGCAGACATGGCACTGCTCATCAAACCACGCTGAGGCAGCGTCCCACATGCCACAACTAGAAGGACCCATAACGAAGAATATATAACTATGTACTGGGGAGCTTTGGGGAGAAAAAGGAAAAAAATAAAATCTTTTTAAAAAAAGGTATCACATTCTAGAAAATTAGGAAGTAAAGTTTCTAAAGAAAATAAAAATTACATTAATGCCATCACCATTTGATCTGTTTCATTTCAGTATTTAAATATGTGTATATTTTAAATAGTTGAGACTCTGTATACCTAGTTTTTTCTTAGTTAATTTTTTCTCCTACTAACAAGCATTTTTCTGTCAATACATTTTTGGAAACCTTTTGATGACTGTGTGTTAGTCTACTGTGTGAACGTATCATAATTTATGTAACCCCTCATCTCTAAGCTTTTTGTTTTTATGAATAAAATTCTGCTATATTTAAAATCTTTGTCCATGTTTCTTGTGTTTTATAATTGATTCCTGAAAGTGAAGTTACCAGATCAAATAATTTTTTTTGAGGATTTTTGAAAGTAAGGCATTATTGAGGTACAATTTACCTACCATATAATTCATCCTTTTTAGTGTCTGGTTTTGAGTTTGACAAAGGTGTATAATTGTGTAAGCACCACCACAGTCGGGATATAGAACAGTCCATGACCTCCCCAAATTCTCTTGTACCCTGCTGTGTTCATCTCCTTCCACCACCTTACTCTCTGACGATCTCTTATCTGTTTTATGTCCATACAGTTTTCCTTTTCTAGAATGTCATATAAATGGAATAATACAGTGCAATAATTTCTGTCTTCTGGCTCCCAAAGATTGACTTCCATTCCACATGCAGAACACATTCACCCCATCCCAAGGCCCCCCAAAGTCTCAGCTCATTACTGCATCAACTCAAAGTCCAAAATCTCATTTGAATCTTGTCAGCTCAAAAATTCCAAATCTCATCATCTAGATCAGATATGAGTGACGCTCTATGTATAGTCCATTCTGAGGCATGATTCCTATCCGTCTCTGAACCTATGAAACGCAAGAAAATGTTATGTACTATAAAGTACAACGAGTGAACAGGCATAGGATCATCAGCTATAGACCTTCCTGTTCAAGAGTGGGGAAAATGTAAGGAAAAAAGGAGTCACCAGTCCCAAGCAGTTTTATTCTCTTAACAGAACAAAAATTTGTAATTTTGATGAACTCTCATTTATCAGTTTTCTTTTTTTAAGGACCATGCTTTTAGTGTTATATCAGAGGAATCTTTGCTTAGTCCAAAATAGTCCATGCTTTCTTCTAGAAGTTTGTGCTTTTAGATATTACATTTAGGTCAGTTTTGGATTAGTGTATGTATTTGGTACAAGGTATGAGTTAAGGTTTGTTTGTTTATTTCATTTGGATGTCCAATTGAATAACACAAAGTTCCTTCTCTTTTGGAACTTTCTTTCTAGTTGTGGTAGACAAGAAACACACAATATGTTGTATTTCAGTGGTGGCGAGCACCATGGAGAACATAAAGCGGAGTGAGGAGGTGAGAGTGCGGGGACTGCTGTGCGTGTGTGTGTGAGGTTGACATAGTCAGGTTAGACTTTCCTCATAAGGTGACTGAGGAAGTGAGGGAGTGACCCATGTGCGTGGGGGGGGGAGCGGTGCTGAAATTTAGGCAGACAGCAAAGCTAGTGCAGAGGTCCTGAGGTGGCGCAGTGCTTGGCGTGTTCAGGCAGTGAAGTGGGTGAGGGGGAGTAGTAGGAGCTTAGGTCAGAGGAGTAACCTTGTCACTTAGAGTCATGTAGGCCAAGATAAACATCTCATTTTACCTTGAGTGCTTTGAGAAGCTGTTGGAGAGCTCCGAGCAAGGAAGGCTGTAATCTGACTCAGTACTGCGCAAGGCGCTGGTCTTCCAGCAGCAGTGCCCAGGAGCTTGTTAAAGACGCAGACTTAGGGCCTGCACGCAGACCTGCTGTCAGAATCTCTGAGGGGAGGCTCCAGGCATCTGTGTTTTACAAGCTGTCCAGGTGATTCTGATGCATGTTATGGTTTAAGAAGCTCTGGTCCAACTTATGTTTCAAAAGATCACTGTGGTTGCCTCGTGGAGGACAGACTCGGGGGAAGGCAGAATGGAAGTATGAAGAGCAGTTAGGATTTAGGTGAGGAGTCGCAGTGGCTTGGGCCAGGGTATTGTGATGAGATGGTGAGTAGTAATCAGATATGAAATATATTTTATAGGTAGAATCAAAAGGATTTGCTAATAAACTGAATGTAGAGTGTAAGTGGACGAGATAAGTCATGGATAATTCCAAGGCTTTGGCCGTGGAAGAGTGGAGCTGGAGCTGCCATTGGGTGGAGTGGGGAAGACAGCGGGAGGGGCAGTGGAGCACCTTCCTTCGTTTATGGTGGTGATGTGGAGGAGGCTTCGGGGCATGGATCTGGAGTTTGGGGTTCAGGTGCGTCTTGGGAAGAGAGAGGTGGGCATTTTGACGGCTGAGCTCTGGGGCCTTGTTTTCACTGCTGCCGGTGGAGGTGCATTTGTACAAGGTTAAGGTTAAGAATGATAATATAGTTAGTAGTAATTTAGTTTTTTTCTAATCACAAATTATGTGTATTTTATCTAATCTGGTTTTAACAGGTATTGGAATAAAGCTAATTACAGCTGTCTGTGAAAATGTCAGTTCTGATATCACAGAGTGTAATAAATTATGTAGAAGAAGAAAACATTCCTGCTCTGAAAGCTCTTCTTGAAAAATGCAAAGATGTAGATGAGAGAAATGAGGTAAGATCAAGTTTCTAAAATTAAATTCTTTTCACAAATATTTGTTGACTACTTACTATGTATAAGGTACTGTGCTAAGGATAAAGGTGAGTAAGTAAGAAATATATAGTTCTCGCCCTTGGTAATGTTACCTTTGGTGGTAATTTCTTATAGCTAAAAGTACTTCAGATTCCATATTTTTGGAATACGTTTGAACTTTTTTATAAATGATTGAATATTGAGTTGGGATGTAGGATTGAATTCTTTTTCCAGATGAAATAATCAATATTCAAGAAGTTGATTACTAAAGTCTGAAGTGTTTCTAAGAAGTTTCAGAGAGCTTCTAGATCCAATCTTCCTAGAAATAGATTAACCGGAAAAAATCAGAACTTTCTGAAATGTTTTCTTTAATGGAGCGAAACTGTCTTCCTGAGTTGTTTATTCCACACACCTTGGGATTTTAAAGACCCTCTGCATCTTTAAGAGACAGTTAAATAGGTCGTGTGTTCTGTTTCATAAGACAAGGAAGTATATATTTACCATTTACATTAACTTAGATATGTCTGTTCAACAATACAGGTAAATAAAATGTTGATCTTATTTCATCAGCAGCAGCCAGGCTGCAACATTTTAGGGACTAATAAACTTTTTATATGAGTTTTTTAAGTGGCAAAGTGTATATTTCTTTTATAAAACTTAAGAAAAATATTCCTGCTTCTTAAAACTATATATTTTCAATATAGTGTAATTTTTTGCCAGTGGATAAGATGAATGAGGAATGATTTAGTTTTATACATATGGATGTGTGTGTATATGTGTGTACATATATGTATCTGTGTGTGTAGACATGTAAAGAATTTTATTTATGATTTTTTTATTGTGGGAAAAAACACATAAAATTTACCATCTTAACTATTTTTAGTTGTATACAGTTCAGTGGCGTTCAGTAGTGTTAAGTAATTCGTGTTGTTGTGAAATATCTCCAGAACATTTTCAGATGTGAAGCTCCATACCCTTTAAACAACAACTTTCCATTTCCCCTTCCCCCAGCCCCTGGTGACCACCATCGTACTTTCTGTTTCTATGAATTTGACTACTCTAGGTACTTCATATAAGTGGAATCATACAGTATTTGTCTTTTTTTTCGTGAGGAAGATTGGCTCTGAGCTAACATCTGTTGCCAATCTTCCTCTTTTTGCCTGAGGAAGATTGTCCCTGAGCTAACATCTTGCCAATCTTCCTCTATTTTGTATGTGGGATGCTGTCACAGCATGGCCTAATGGGTGGTGTGTAGGTCCACACCCAGCATCCAAACCCTGGGCCACTGAAGTGGAGTGCACAAACTTAACCACTATGCCACCAGGCCTGTCCCAGTATTTGTCTTTTTGTTAGTGGCTGATTTCACTTAGCATAATGTCCTTAAGTTCATCCATGTTGTAGCATGTGACAAGATTACCTTCCTTTTTAAAGCTGAATAATACTCTGTTGTATGTACCTATCACATTTTGTTTATCCATTTATACACTGATGGACTTGTGGGTTGTTTCCTCCTCTTGCCTATTGTGAATAGTGCTTCTCTAAATATGGGTATGCAAATATTAGAAATGTTTTTAAACTGCTGAATCAAGGAGTATTACTTTATTATTATTATTATTATTTTTGACATAGGGTACCTAATTTCATTGTGTTAACTGTCATTAAGGAAATCTTGATATAAAAATTTTATTATTGCAATAACAATACAATAGCTAATATTTTTATCGAATATTTATGCAAGTATTATGGCAATTATTCTTTATATCTTAGCTCATTTAATTTGAGTAGCAATTCTTTAAAGAATAATGCTGTTATTTATCTCAGTTTACAGATGGATGACTTAATCTCAGTTTCCTTTCCAAGGTTTATCTGGTAAACCCAAATTTGAACCCTGCTTTATTTAACTTCAAACTATAATCTGTTTATGCTCTACTGCCTTGAGTCTGCAGAATAAGTTCATCTAATGCTAATGCCTATATTTTCAGTGTTTCTATATTGAACAAATTATATTTTGATTAGTTAACGTTATTAGACTCTTCTATGATTATGAATAGTCAAGAATTGTTATAAGTAGATAAGAGATAAAATTGGAGATTGTTCATTGTTATAACAGTTGTGTACAGAAATATGTAGTGATTTTGTTAGCATATATTAGCATATTTGGAATAATAAAATGATGCTAGTTTAAAAAGATTGTTTTACTTCATAGTTATTTTCTTTGGGAATACTGAGAAAATATCTTTACTTGGAAGGAGAAAAATAGCATATCAGTAAGCATAAAATTATATTAATCTTATTCCCATAAAGAATGAAGCATATTTGGTATAGAGCTTAACTTGGCATCATGCATTAGGTAGCATTTAATAGGTATTAATGATATTTATATCTAATAGTTAAATATCGTATCCGTTTAAATTGGAGTTTTAAAGTAATAATTTGAAACAACCTGCAATTGTTCACTTATGGCTCATTGTGAAGGTTGGGGAGAAAGTAGCTTTCTCAAGGCCTTTTTATTAGCATTTTGCTTTTATAACTGGTAGAGCTTAATTTTTATAGTATTCTAAAGAGTTGCTTGGACTTTCTTCCCTTCTTTCTTGCCCTTAAAAGTAGAATATTTAATTACGTCGTGTTCATATGTTTTGGTTATCAGTTTTGAAAAGGTGTCTTAAATATTACATCGGTAAAATAAAATGATGCGGGGAAAATTGCCTGATGCTGTGCTTAGCATGTAATCAGCTGCAATCAGTAAATGCTAATTTCCTTCCTTCTTTTCTTTCTGCTCTATTTATAAACTAGATAAATCTCTTGGCCTGTGGATATTCTCAATGATGTCAAATCTTTGCCCTTTGCACAGTAGTGAAGGGATTTTATTTTAATTTATTTTTGAGTAGAGCAAAAAATCACTTTCGGCTCTTCTTGGTACAAGGGTATAGTGTCGAGGTTGGACATTATCTCCTGTCTAAGAAAATGAAGTGAGCTCTAATTCAAAAGATGGATTTTGTTATGTGTTTACCACCAGACTTTGAAGGCAATTGCAAAGGAGAATTTCAAACTGTTTTAGTTTCACTACAATTATTGGAAGAAGTATATATCCTCCAAAGGCGACTGCCTTACAGGGCAGTGCGTATTTAGGTCTAAATTGCCGAAATAAATAAAAGTGGGACCATGTAGGAATTGGGAAGAGCAAAAAGATGCTGAATAGGAGGCGTTTTTGCACTGTAGCCTCCTGGGAAGCTGAGATAAAGTATGGTACCTGTTGTGGGGAGCTTCACTTGTTGCACAGTGTTCTGTTTTGGGTTGAGGTCATTATAAGTAGAGCAGGGCTCATATGAGTTATATGATCATGTGTTTTTTGGAAAGAAATGGGCTTGGGATTTGCTGGGATGGGGGGTTAGGTAGGGAAGGGGCCTTTAGTGATTAATTTTGAGGTGGAAGAATAAAGTTGTCATGACTGTTCCTAAGTTATTCTGTATCCCCACAACTGTAGTTACTAGATTGGTTAAGCAAGAGCTAGTAGAATAAATAAGATATATTTTGATAAGGCCCAATTTATAAGGTAACTAATCTTCTATCTTTGGGAATCTAAGAAAACTTCATTTCAGCCTTTCCTGCAAATCATTTACCTTTTTGGATAGTGTAGCTACAAAAGATGTATCAGTTAAGAATTGCTTTGGACTGCATGTAACAGCTCCCAGAACAGTGGCTTGATCTAATGAAGGTCTTGTTTTTCTCACATAATGACAACCTGAAGGAGCCATTCCAAGGCTGGTATGATGGTTTCAGGATATCTTCCTAGGCTCCTTCTGCCCTCTGGCCAGTCCTCATTGTGTGCTGCTTACTGCACACCAGCCATCTTGATACAGCTTCAGCGTTGTGTCTACACATTGGGCAAGAAGAAGGAAAAGGGGACAGGCCAGCTGAGATAGTCACATTACCGAGCTTTCCTGGGAGACCCAGCCAGAACAGTGTCGGGATTATTTCCAGTTGCAAGTGAGGCTGAACAGTGTGGGGTTTTTTTCAGCTGAGCACACTGCTACTCCCAACAAAATCCTGTCGCTCTGGACACTGAGTAGACAACTTATAGTTTCTGCAAGAGAAGGTTATGACTATTCAAGTCTTTCATTTGGCTTGTTTCTAGTTAATCAAGCTTATATCATCTTTCTTATTTGTGTTATAGGTATTTATACACATCTACATTATGTTTTCCCTCATACTGTAGAAGCACCTATCTCTGTGAACTATCTGAAATGTGGCTGTGACCCGAGAATTAAACAGAAAACTGCTAAGTTTTTGGAATTACTATTTTGAAAACTCTGATGTAAAGCTCATGTATCCTTAGGACCGTGGATTCAGAATTAATTGGCTGTAATTTATATATTATACCAATGACTTTGATATCTCACTTTTTATCCCAGTTGATTAGAAGGGAGAAGGATGTTGTAGAAGGTATGTCAAAGTCATCAGAACCGATGGAGGCAAGCCTAGTGTAATAATTGATGTCTGTAGTTATGACTCAGAATCATAAATATAATCTTTAAGATAATCTGTTTAATAAGTAACGATGTGTGCATTGCTTTTTAGAGTAATGGTTATCATAAAAGTTATAATCAAGTTTAATGTTTAAAGGGTAAACTTTTTCACCTGGAAAATCTATTTATGCATAATACCTCATTCCCTAATGACCCTGGTTGAATGACATTTGACTCCCACATATAATTTAGTATCCGTTGTTATCTAAGAATGTCTGTATTTAATGCAATTTACTTTTTACTTTGTTTAAACTGGTATTTGTATTTAACACTTAACTTCTTTTATTCTTATAATAGCAGCCATCATATTTTGCCGATTATTATAACTATTTGCTTGTTTGTATGTTGCCACTAATAGATTTTTAAGTTCTTTGAGACTTTGCTCACTTATTTACTCAACGAGTATTTGAGTAGCTGTGTGGTAGTCACTCTCTCTCACACTGGGATACAGTATTGAAGAAACAAAACAGACATGCTTTCCACCCTCATGAAGTTTGGAGCCTTTAGGGAAAACACAATAATCACAGAAATAAAAGTGCATTTAGAACAAGGAGTCTTATAGTAAAGGAAGAGTAGAGGAGGTTAGCACGGCTACCCTGAGGGGTTGATGTTTGACCCAAGAGCAGAAGGGTGGGCGGTAGTGAATTGGGTGGGGCAGGGAAGACTGTCTGAGGGTCCAGAGTGGGAAAGAGCTTGAGGGTATGTTGGTGGGAAGGGAATGGCAGAGAATAGGTTTCAAGGTAGGCCTGCTGTGGTCTCCATCATTCAGGGCTTGTGTAGGCCGTGGTAGGGATTTTGGTTCTTATCCAGAAAAGCATTGGGAAACCATTGAGGGTTTTAAGCAGAGGAATGATGTCAAATTAGCATTTAAAAAAATCACTGATATTTTCCTGCACACTGACATACACACAGTAAGTGGGTGCTTAAATAATTATTTGTCTAATTGAACTTAAATTTTGGTATAGCTTTTTTCTTACCTTTTTCATACCTTTTCTTTTTTCATACCTTAGCATGTTTTAGCACCTTTAGTACTGTCACTCTTAACCCACTACTTCTAATGTGTTTCATATCGTGGCACTGGCAGAAAATGAAAATGCGTGTATTGTGCTTGCAATAGTTGAGGCTTGCTGCTAGAGGGGATCCACTCCAGGATTCAGCTGCCTGGGCCCTGCCCTGCTGTCCCAAGGTGGGGGGAGCACTGTTTCTTACTGCTGTGACTCATTCTGGCCACACAGGCTGGGAAACTCTGATGTAACTACAAGAGGCTTTTATTTTGATGAATTAAGGTTATAAGGGACAGCTTAAAGAAACTGTATATATGTATTATATACAGCACCTGTATTGTTTTTATTTGTTGTTTTACTTTTCTCCCTCTAGTCCTGATAAAACAGCTTCTAGATAGATTAAAACCATATTCTAGAACCAGCCCTGATGGCCTGGTGGTTCAAGTTTCGTGCTCTCACCGCTTTGGCGGCCTGGGTTTGGTTCCTGGTTGAGGAACCACACCACTCGTCTGTCACTTGCCATGCTGTTGCGACGGCGCACGTAGAAGAACTGGAAGGACTTAGAACTGGAATATACGATTGTGCACTGGGGCTTTGGGGGGAAAAGAGGAAGATGGGCAATAGATGGTAGCTCAGGGCGACTCTTTCCCAGCAAAAAAAACCAAACAACCCATGTTCTATATCATATTCTAACAGTATTGTTAGAGAATTTAGTTACCATAGATATCCTAAGATTTTTATATACATTGTGGTAATTACTTTTCAGAGCCTAGTATTATTCATGTTTGTTTGTTTTGAATGAAATAGCAGTGCCAAAAGCAGATTACTAATGCTGTGGTAAAAAACAATGTTTCATTTTCTCTTTGACTTTTACGTTATTAGTAAACTGAAAACTAAAGATTTCAAAGGTGTTTCTAAATTAAAGAAATATTTTAAACAGTGTTTAACGTACCATCATGAAAATGTAAGTGTGGTATATTTAACTGGTGTTTCAGTTAAAGAACAGCATCTTGACTTTTCTCTGTTTCTTTTATGTTCTCTAGTGTGGCCAGACTCCATTGATGATAGCTGCTGAACAAGGCAATCTGGAAATAGTGAAAGAGTTAATTAAGAATGGAGCTAATTGCAATCTGGAAGATTTGGTATATATTGAAATAATTTACTTATTGTCTTCTTTTTCTTTTCCTTAACTTTGCTGTTTCTTTGTTTTTAAGAGGTGACTCAAAAGTAATAGATTACAAATTGTGCTTTCACATCTATCTCAGCTTTGCCTAATGATATGCTAAGTTTTTTTAAAGGTGTAATACAGAAGGGAAATTTTTACTTTGAATGAAAGATCTCAGCTCTTTGTGTTTTCTGTATATAGACGACACTGTCTGAATAGGGAGCATATACACATAAAATTAAGTGCCTGCCTAGAAATTATCCATGTGTGAGTCATATTTTTAAGTAACTTAAAATACTCATAATACTCATAATAAGATGTTCATATAAGATACTCATAATAGTATCTTACTATTATAAATACGGTTACCTATGATAATTGTCAGAAAGATATGGTCCCTTCTGATTCCACTTCTGAGGGATAAATCACTGTTCTAGGAGGCTTACGTTTCCTCTACTTTCTCTGTTTCCTAGGAATTGTTTTTTAGGGTCACACAGCTAAATCTGCTTTCTTTTTTAAAATTGATGATTCAAATTAATGATTTTAAATTGATGATTTTAATTGAATGATCATTTGAGTTAAATTATACTCATGCATAAAAGTTAGGATAGGATACTTGTAATCTTTACTTAAAAAATAAAGAATATTCTTTCTTTGTCACATAGTTTCTAAACTCATCATATGAGCATCATGTGAGATCACTTTAGCCTGTGTATGTGCTCTGAAATCTGATTACAGGCTCTGTAATTTAAAGTTATAATAATGGTTGCTAGCCACAAGGATTAGCTTTGAGCTTTTGATAGTCATCTTTTCTCCTTTTTAAAAAACACAGTATGTGATTAGAAGTCCAGTGAAAAGACTGAACAAGCAGTTGTGAAACCGTTTCTACACCATTGTAGTAATAAAAGTAGACAAATAAATTCTGAACAGAGCTTATGCTTCAATGTTATTTTCGGTTAGTTTAGAGTGGGTCAAAGCATGTCAATTTGGTATGATCATTTGGTATGTAAATTTGAATTTATTTTTCCTCACTTTGGAATGTTATGTTTGGTTTTGAAATGGTCACATTTGTGTCTTTGTATTCAAGGATAACTGGACTGCACTTATATCGGCATCAAAAGAGGGGCACGTGCACGTTGTGGAAGAGCTGCTTAAATATGGGGCTAGCGTGGAGCACCGGGATATGGTCTGTGCATTCTTTATGCTGTGCTGTTAACTCACTGGAGTGTTATCGACAGTAATAGATATGTGAGATCTTGTATTTGTGTGTGTGAGGTGAGATTATAACAATGTTTTTAGGATTTGGGGTTGGGCATTGAAATGACCCTCAAGATTGTTTTAAGATCAGGTGATATAATGTACCTCTTTTAGAATATTCTTAGTCTTCATTTTTAGTTTATTTCAGAGTTTAAAATTCTGAAATATTGTTGTAAACAACTCATTACCCTTTAATATATCAAGCTTTTAGAACTTGACAGAATTGTTTCCTTTAAGAGGAACTTTGAGAGGGACATAGTATAGTTTAAAGAATATTTTCAGTTGCTCGAAGTGATAATTTTCAGCATAATGGGAGAAAGGAAGGAATTGATGTCCTTGATGTATAAAGCGTATTACTCTGCTGATGACGCTTTATGAAGTCTGGGTGGTCTGAGTTTTTAAGAAATTGCAGCATTCCACCGTCTTGTACTTAATGTTATATTGTAATTGTAATTTACATAGTGTTTTCACCTCTTTAATATTAGATTTATTCTCAAAACTTAGTGAAGTGGGTGGTACTTATTTTTTTAGGAAGATACAGAACCATTTGTATCCTACCTATTTCTGAAAAGAAATTGAAGTACATTGCTATAAAAGTGTCCCCAAAGTAATTATCACAACACCCTTTTACATTTAAAGAGTCTTTGTGTTTGGCCTTAAAACACCAAAAATTGGGGAAACTGAGGACTATGTCTCCCTTAGTAGTTAGTGTTGAGGAACCCTAACTTCAAAGGATTGGGTGGATGGTGCTAGCGGCTGAGCTTGTGAGGGAAGGCAGAGTCCCTTGGACTTGTGAAAGGAGAGCAGAGTAACCGCCAGGGGTCGTCTGGGACTCAGGAATAATTCCAGTATATAATATCAGGAAATCTAGTGAAGATTCTTTTTTGAGAGGACCTTTTACGGGCACCAAACTCTAGCTATTGCTATAGACAATTGGTTCCAATTTTTTCATTTTGCAAATTTAGACATAGTTTTTTCAAGAGTAAAGTTTTATTTCATAGATTCTTGCACAGGGTGACATTATACAAATTAAAGTGAGGGCATGATTTTAAAACAATTCTGGGCAGGCATTTTACAGATTAAAATATTGGTATATGTAAGACTTGACTTGCCCAACTCCATATTTTGACCTAAACAAATCACATCAGCCTTTCTTTGTCTTTCAAGACCTTGACGCTTTTGAAGCCTACTTGTCTATTATTTTTAGAATCTCTCTCAGTTTGGATGTGTCTGGTGTTTCTCATGATCAGATTGAGATTGTGCTTTATTAGGAAGAATACCGCAGAAGTGATATGCCCTTCTTAGTGCGCTACCTCTAGGTACATGATACCAGAATGTGTCACCGCACTGTTCATCTGGATCTCTTGGTTAAGGTAGTATCTGTCAGATTTCACCACTGTAAGATTACTATTTTTCCCTTTGTAATTACTAAATATTTTTGGGAAGATACTTTGAAACTATACAGATATCCTGTTTTTGATTAAATTTTCACTCATTTGTTTTAGCATCCATCAGTATATCTTGCATGCAGCAGTTATTACTGTGGTTTTATAGTGGTGATTTTTCTATTTCCCTCATTCCCTCTATGTTTATTAATTGGAATTCTTCTGTAAGGAAGAGTTCTCTCTGTCTGTCTATATCTAGATATAGATATATATGGGCTCATAAACATTTATTTTATTTTTTGGATTATAATCTAGTTCTATACTTATTTTTAAGGGCCCTTTCAAGATGCCCTATCCTTTTTTAGAAAATAGAATTTAGAAACCAATATCTAGGTGTAGGTGTGTTTATTGCTACTGGGGTGTCACTGCTTGTAGTCCTTCTCATTGGATAGATGTAGGAAATACGTGTCTGGATACTAACTCTTACATACACATACATCTATTCTGTATCTAATTTGTGGATGTATATTTTAAAAAGAGACTAGGTTGATACCGCCAACCCAATCCATTGTAACCTTTTCTGTTTCCTTAATTTGTACCTCTTCTCTGATGCTGAGACATCTGGCTCTCCTGATCTGCACAATCTATTTATTTGTTCAATTCTAGTATATAAATAAAGTAGTTTCAGCATTTCCAGTCCATACCCCAAGAGAAACAGATTTATCTACGAAGTGGAGTGTTTGTGTGTAGTTCTTTTTGTCTGTAGCGTTACAATATTCAGTTAAAATTTTGCTTTTCGAAGTTACCTAGGTCAGCTTCTAAGTAATTTTGTGATTCATTTGCAATATAGTTAGGTTCGTTTGTTCCAGTCTGTATTCTATCTTTCCTCTCCATATTCTGGTTGATTTCTGAAAAATTTGCATACAATGAAATTCGCTCTTTGTGGTGTACAATTCTTTAGTTTTTGACCAGTGCATAATGTCATATATCCACTACACGGTTCTGTGCAGAGCAGTTCCATCACTTCAGCAGTACCCTCGTGCTGCTCCTTCATAGTCAACACCTCCTCCCTCCTCAACCTCTGGCCACCACTCATCTGTCTTCCCTTTCTGTGGTTTTGCCTTTTTCAGATTAGGGCAAGTATTTTTTTTAATATCTTTTTTAGGGATGATGAAACAGGATCAGAAGGATTAAGTGATTTATATTCTCAGAACCAAATGTGAATTGGTCCAAAAACTAGTTTTAAATAAGCAAACAAAATATTTGTTCCTTAGTATAATTTGATTACATTGGTCTCTTTTATTGAATTGCATTATAGCTAAAGAGAAAATTGCTCAAAGCAAAGAAAAAAATTGCTCCTGTAGCTTAGAAAATAGAAAGTTATCATGCTGTTAATTCATACTTGATGGCTTCGCCTACCCCAAGAAATCATGATCTACAGATTATTGCCTCAGTGTCCTCTTTTTTAGCAAGAGGTACTGTAATGATCTGGGATTTATAGGATGTGTTTAAATGCAAGAGGTGAATATGATTGCTGAAATTCCTCTCTGGAAAAAGTCTAGACTCATACAAGGAGGAGAATAACTAGGGACATAGAAAATTTTCTCAAGAAAAATTTTTGAACAGCCAAAATAAATCCTGGAAATTTGGAAAAGTCCAACATGAATCTTCCCTATTGCAGTTTCCAAGATGTAGTAAAACCTTTGGAGTGATCATTTCAGACTTAAGAGAATTGACTTATTTCATGTACTGTCGTGTTTGTCTCTGAGAAGCTTGGGAATTTAAGACTTAGTAGTAGTGCTTTCATAAAACAGTGGTTTTATAAAGAGTATTCACAGAATGAACTTCATTAATGGCTTCTTTTTTTTTTGCTTGGAGATAATGCAAAGTTTTATCTCCTTCCTCCTTTTTTCTCTTTCAGGGAGGTTGGACAGCTCTTATGTGGGCGTGTTATAAAGGCCGTACTGAAGTGGTCGAGTTGCTTCTTTCTCATGGTGCCAATCCAAGTGTTACTGGTCTGGTAAGCGTTAACAAAAAATTCATTTGTGATGTAAGTGGTAAGTTCTTTTAGGAAATACTTTAGGCTGGTTGTACTTTAGACTTCATAGTGAATAATAATGATCTAGATCTTATTAAAGATAAGAATTTAGAATGTGAGTTCAAAACAATGCAAATTTTTTTCTCAACCTATTTCTCAATTTTTATGAGCAAAAAGGCAATGCTTAGAGCTTGCGTGTTAATTATAGCTATATAGCATTTCAAAAGAAAATTTTGAAACCCTAAGTCATCTTGCCTTGTTTTCTGTGGGTATGCATTCTTAGTGTAAAATTCTGTAAAGAAAAGAGACATTTGCCAAATATGCATACCATTTTTCTACACATTCTTATAGATGGTAGTGCGTGCGTTACTACTTTGCCTCAGACTTGATCTCGGACTGCAGATTAAGGAACGGTTTTATTGTTGGGGGAATTCTTTCACAATGTAGATGTATGTAAAATTGTCACATTGTACACTTTAAATATCTTACAATTTTATTTGTTGGTTATACCTCAATAAAGCTGAAAAAAAAAAAGAAACTGTTTATTCAAGTTAGTGAAAGGATTATATAAGAAAAGTTTCACATTCCTCTTATTAGTCTTGCCTGTTGGTTAGATAATCACATTATTTGTATTGAATCTATAAAAATAAATGTGTTAATAATATATATTTATTTAAGGTTGCCGATTATGTATTATGAGTACTGTGAGTGTTTTTAAAGTGGAGAATGGTGTGTAACTTGATTTTTAAAAATATTACTTTGTATTACTCCCTTTGTTTTTACAGTCATGCGCTGCATAACAATGTCTCAGTCAACAACGGACCACATATATGAACCACATATATGACTGTAGTCCTGAAAGATTAGTACTGTATGGCATAGGTGTGTAGTAGGCTATACCATCTGGGTTTGAGTAAGTACACTGTATGATGTTCCCACAAGGAAGAAATCGCCTGATGACGCCTTTCTCAGAACATATCCCCATTGCTAAGCGACGCATGGCTGTACTTTTCTTAGCACATGTGTGCTGTAAATATCCACCTAAAAGATTTTTTCTTTCCCTCCCTACCTTGTGCCCTCCCTCCCTGTCTTCCTTTGTTCCTGTCTACCTACCTACCCACCTACCTGTCTCCCAGCAGTACAGTGTTTACCCAATCATTTGGGCAGCGGGGAGAGGCCATGCAGATATAGTGCATCTTTTACTGCAAAATGGTGCTAAAGTCAACTGCTCTGATAAGGTAGGTCAGCAGGATCTTTGCAGGTTCCAGTTCATTTTATGTCTACTCGTGTGTCTAATTTACAAGTATTTTCATATGATCTTAAGAGGCTGCTCTGACGTATCTTCCATTTATGTGTATTAATGTCTTTTATGTAGATGTACATCTCATAGATGGCTTCCTTATAGGTACTGTGTACTAAGTGTCCTTCCGTTGTTTTTTATATCACATTCATTATTCTCAGGAAAATAGAGCTTATTCCCTGTCTTCATTGTTTGAAGTTTTCTGTTGTAACTCTTCTTCTACCTTTAGTCCTTTCTGCTTTCTATGTATTGTTGCCAGAATGATCTTTCTAAAATTCAAGTTTGGTTATCTCTCTTATACGTAAAATCCTAAAGAGATCAATTCCTGGTCTGTTGTATGAAGATAGGCCTTGCCTCCCTTTCTACCCTTTCTCCTGCTGTTTATACCTCAAAACTACCTTTTAGGCTAGACTATTGAATGATGTAGGTTCCAGAATTCATCTGTTTTTAACCCTTCCATGCCTTTGGGTGTGCTCTTTCATAGTGTGGAATGCCCTTGCCTCCCCGTCAGCTTTAGCTTCTCTTCATCCTTCACTCAGCTCATTGCTGTCTACTCCAGAAAGCTCCCAAGAATTTTCTTTTATTCATTTTTTAATCCTTAATATTTATGTCAAGCATTTAATAAACATTTATTTAATTATATTGTTCTTCCTTGCTTTTGGAGTGCTTTGATGGCTTCTGCAGTTCTGGGACAAAGCCCAGACATTTTTTTTCTTTGAGGAAGATTAGCCTTGAGCTAACATCTGCTGCCAATCCCCCTCTTTTTGCTGAGGAAGACTGGCCCTGAGCTCACATCCGTGCCCATCTTCTGTACTTTATATGTGGGACGCCTGCCACACCCCGGCTTGACAAGCTGTGCATAGGTCCGCACCTGGGATCCAAACTGGCGAACCATGGGCAGCCGAAGCAGAATGTGCGAACTTAACTGCTGTGCCACTGGGCTGGCCCCCGCCTAGACTTTTTAGTTTGACTCAGTCTATCAGCCCAGGCTCACTTCTTGCCATTCCTCTCCATGTACACTATGCTTTGGATACAAAAGATTGTCTGACATTCTATGAACTTTTATGAATTTCTGTGGAGTTTATGTTTTTGTTTATTCTGTTCCCTCTGCTAAGAATGTGGTTTTCTCCTCTGCCTGATGGACTCCGATGTAATTTGTCAAGATTCAGTTGAGATATTACCTCCTTTGTTAAGCCTCCTTAACTTACTTAGTCAGCTTAGACGCCCGTCCTCTGTACTCTCCGTGTTCTCTGTGCATACCTCCGTGGGTGCACATAGCCAATTATAACCATTGCTTTACTTCTCTCTCTTACCGCCAGAGTGTAAGTTTCGTGAAAGTAAGGAATGCTCCTTTTTCTTTTCGTTTTTGTACCTCCATTATTTCCATTAACTGTCTTAGAACTTGAGACATTGTGCATAAGCATGTTCTTTTCAAATTAATAACAATTTAGCAAAATATAGGAAAATAACTATTAGACATTTTTTGATAATTGGAATATATTCTGAGCATAAATTTAAGTAAAATAGTGTTGCTTAACTTTATGGGAGGGTTGGAAATCATTCTCATCTTGATCTGGATGATGGTTATATGGGTGTATACATATGTAAAAAAATCATCAAGTAGTACACTTAAGTTTTGTGTATTTTATGCCCTTTATGCAGGTTATGCCTCATTTTACATAAAATAATAGCTTAATGAGGACTGTAAGGAGACTGTTGCAAACACTTATAATATACTATTTAAGGGCTGGCCCAGTGGTGCAGTGGTTAAGTTTGCACATTCTGCTTCGGCTGCCCAGGGTTTGCCAGTTTGGATCTTGGATACGGACGTGGCACTACTTGGCAAGCTATGCTGTGGCAGGCATCCCACATATAAAGTAGAGGAAGATGGGCACGGATGTGAGCTCAGGGCCAGTCTTCCTCAGCAAAAAGAGGAGGATTGGCAGCAGATGTTGGCTCAGGGCTAATCTTCTTCTTCAAAAAAAAAAGTATTTAAAAATATTGTTTTGGTGACTGTTTGCTAATTCAGATTGACTGTCTTCTAATTCAGATTAGTGAGGTTTTATTGTATGTCTAAAGTGGATGTGGTTCTATTTATTGAAGTTTCTGATTTGACACTTTAATGTGATGGAGAAACCCTTAATTTCTCCTAGTGGCCTATTGAAAAATATATAACCTGGCATTCAAGGCCCTCTGGAATCAGTTACTATGCTACCTAGTCTGTCACTCTAACATTTTGAGAAAATGTTTAGTACCTTTTGTCTGCCATGCCCTATAGCTGCGCTAAACACAGAAGATGTAAAAACAGAGAAGAAATTATCTCTGTTTAGAGAAGCACGGAGATAAGTGGCACATTTAAAATGCAAAGGCTAGGAGTCAAGTGACTTAGGAGTTTAGAGAAGAGAATTCACCGATAGCTAAGCAGTCGGTTAAAGATTTGATAGAACTGAGACTTAATCTAGACCTTAAAGAAGTAGAACTTAAGTGAATGGAGAGTAGGAGAGGAGACTGTACAAGGCACAGGGGGACATGAGAGCCAGAGGCCTCAGAGTGTGATTCTCATGGCACGTTGAGATAGCACTGAGTAGGCTCATGTGAGGAGAGCTGAGGTGGTGTGGACAGGAGCCGTGAGGAAGGAAGCCCTGGCTGTAGATGGAGCCCCCTAGAAGTAGGCCTTGAATACCTCACTGAAAATCAGTGGGGGTTTTGAGTAGTAGATTGACACAAAGTGGTGTTTTAGAAAAATGATTACTTAATAGTGCATTATAGGATGGATTGAAGATAAAGAGAATCATTTTATTGCTGACAGAAATAGGAAAGTTTCTACGGGAACTAAGTTTTAGTGAATGAAGTCAGTTTTAGTTGTGTTGACTTTTAAATGATGGGAGCACTGGGAGTTAAAGGTGTCCTGCTAGGTAGTGGACATAGAGGTTTTGACTGGAGGTGTTGAGGGGTTGTCTGCATAGAGATGATTCTTGAGGTTGCATGAGAGTGGATTTGATAAGTGGGGTCGGTAGTAATGAGACGAGATGAACACAGAGCTGATTATTGGCAGTGTTCCCTAGGTAGCAGAATTTGGTGAAATGGCAAAGATGACTAACGAATTGAAAGTTCAAGGTGGAAGGGACAGTCTACAGTTCAGAATACTACAGAGCTTTCAGGAAGAAAAGAAAGAACTGAGAAAAAGATCTACAGATCTAGTGTTTAGGTAACTATTGGTGACTTGGGGATTGTGCTTTTTGTAATGTTTATAGCAGAAACCAGTTTTTGAGGGGGTTTTGGAAAGGGATTGGAAGTAACCATTATAAATTATTTTGAAAGTTTAAAAGAAAAGGCAGTGATGAGTATCTTGGGAGGATAGCTTATTGGAAAAGTTTTTTTTAGGATAGGAGAGGCCTGAACCAGTTTGTTGGGAGAAGGAATAAAGAAGAAAAGCCTGATGACATAGGAGGAGATTATTGAGTATGGTTCTAGATGAAACAGAGGAAAATAGGATCAAGGGTACACATAAAGGGATTAGATTTATTAGAGATAGAGACCAGGACTTGAGAAAAAGAGGAGAGAGAGACATATTGAGGTGATTCTGAGTGCTGACTACAGAGATGTTTTGAAGTAGAGAGAAGAGGTCCTGCTGGATGTCAAGAGTTCTTTGTAATGATGAAAGTGAGATTATCCGCTGACTGTGGGGTGAGGAGTAGCTGGCTAACGTGATGGGGCGGGAGAAGAGCAGAATTGATAGCCTATGATCTTGTTCAGTCCAGTTCTATAAGAAGGGTAAAAGTGAAATATAATACGTGTTCCAAGGATGAGTGCTCAATTATAATTACTATATTTAAAGAAGGCTTTATGAGTGATGAATGTGTATTATTTTTGAGGATGTCTGATTTTCAATTTGTAGAGTCAGGGAAGGCATTTTAGCCGGGGAAATGTTATCCATAAATGAAGAGGCTAGAAAAGAATTTAATTCTAGGAGAAGAATATAGATGCGAGAGTGAAATTGGGAAGTTCCTCTTGGCCTTAATTCATCTCTAATTCATGTTTGAGGCTGTAACCTTGACAGCTGCCTTCCTCTTATGTGTCCCTCCTCTTTTTTAGACTCCTGCTCCTGTGTGCTATATTGGCAGCCTTGGGATTCTGGCTGTCATGAGGTCCCATCCATTGAGGAAGAGCACCCAGGGCTACAACTTGCAACAGTGTGGTCACTGGGACATTTGACCTCATTTACAGAGTGATGCTGTCTTGTACAGTAGCCACTAGGCACATATGCTTATTTAGACTTAAGTCAGTTAAAATTAAATAAAATTAAAGGTTCAATTCCTTGGTCACACTTGCCACATTTCAAGTGCTCCATAGCAGTATGTGTCTAGTGGCTACTGTATTGGTCAATGCAGAATTATAGAGGATTTCCATCAACACAGAAAGTTCTGTTGGGAAGGGCTGTTATAAAAAGCAGGCATTAATTAAATTTCATTTCAATCTGCAGTCTCCCATGTAGTTAAAGGTCACTCTGGGTATGCGTTTGCCTCTTGATTGCCAGACTCCCCAAAGACACAGCATTGCTTTTATGCTTGATTTATATTCTCTGATGCCTTTTGAATTATGTTCCAGCAAAAGGTGCTTTTGAGTGTAGTTTCTAGGCTGGAGTTTATTTTGTCAAGTATGAAGGCTGATTTTGGGTGGTGGTTAGCAGCGTAGGCTGAAACCTGGCTTTTTGGGTTCCTGGGTCTTGTTCCACCTCTGAGTAGTTTTGTGACTTTGAGCCTCTAGTTAACTTCTCAGGGCACTGTTTGCAGTAAAAATGTGATATTGTGAATTGTATTTATTCATTCTTGTTAGTAAAGATCGCTTGAGTTAACCCATGTAAAGTAGTTAGAACTGTGTTTGGCACTTGGTTGTTACTGCTTTTGCCTATAGTCAGACTGTTGGACTTTAAATTGTGTTTCACAACATATGGGAAGCAATGAAAGCTTGTTGAAAATTAGAGACTATACAACTTTGTGATAGAAGAATTGTCACTGATTATAAAAGTTAAAGTTGGTCAAAAGACTTATTTTTTATTTTATTTATTTATTTATGTATTTTGAGGAAGATTAGCCCTGAGCTAACTACTGCCAGTCCTCCTCTTTTTGCTGAGGAAGCCTGGCCCTGAGCTAACATCCTGCCCGTCTTCCTCTACTTTATCTGTGGGATGCCTACCACAGCATGGTGTGCCAAGCGGTGCCATGTCTACACCTGGGATCTGAACCAGTGAACCCCAGGCTGCTGAGCAGCGGAGCGTGTGAACTTAACTACTGCACCACTGGGCTGGCCCCAAAAGACTCTTATTTTTTAAAGATTGGTACCTGAGCTAACATCTGTTGCCAGTCTTCTTTTTTTTCTTCTTCTTCTTCTCCCCAAAGCCCCCCAGTACACAGATGTATATTCTAGTTGTAGGCCCTGGCTGTGCTGTGTGGGATGCTGCCTCAGCATTGTTTGATGAGCGGTGCTATGTGTGCGCCAGGATCCAAACCGGCAAAACCCTGGGCTGCCGAAGTGGAGTGTGTGAACTTAACCACTTGGCCACGGGGCCAGCCCGGGTTAAAAGACATCTTATAGGGTGGTTAATCATCTATTTGGAGAAATAAAATGGAGAGAATATGATTGATCTAGGATTAAAATTATGATTAGTGAAAACGGTAGTTTAGGAAGGCAGTTCTTCAAAGTATGATTTTTATCAAAATTTGTGTTGAGAGCTAGTTTCTTTTGTACACCTTTGATAATAATTTTAAATTTATTTTTTGTTTTAATAGTATGGAACCACCCCTTTGGTTTGGGCTGCACGGAAGGGTCATTTGGAATGTGTAAAACATTTGTTGGCCATGGGAGCTGATGTTGATCAAGAAGGAGCTGTAAGTAGCTTTTCTATTTTAATCCCTGGTAACAGAGAGATGTTTTTAGTTTTAAGAGACAGAATATTTTCTTTAAGTATATGCCTAGAAAAATTTCCCTACAGTTCTTAAATGATACTTAGAAAAAACAAGCGTTTTCTATTATCCTGAGAAATGTATTACCTTATAGATATTGTATACTACAAATATATGCTTTTAAGATATATTGCTAATGCACATAAATTTTGGGAGGCTAAAACTATCAAGAATATCTTTCAGTAATCTTAGAATAAATTGAAATACTCTTAAAATCAAATAGTTTAAAATACTGTTGTGGAAAAGAGTTATGCTCTGTTAAAATACCTTTTCTTTAAAAATTTAAAATAGTATTGTCACTTTTTGGCTATTTTTAACAATGACTTATTTTCCTTCTCCAATAGATGTATTAAAAAATATCAGAAATCAGTGGTTGAATCCTAGAAAGCTTAAAAATTGGTTCAGTACATCCTACTGACTAGCACTGAGTAATTCCTTGTTGAGCGCCTGCCGTATAGCCAGCCCTGTGCCAAACGTGTCTCCAAATACTGGAGAAACCTAACAAATTGCTTTTCCCTTGAGCTTATAAAAATACGGTTAAAGGAAATGACATTTATGCACAAGAAACAATTAATACATACTGCTATTTACATAATTAAGTATTATGTGAGATGGATCATAAAGAAATCTGAGAAGAGAGACTACTAAATCTCTGGCTGCAATGTAACAAAAGTGAACTCTAAATCATCCTTGACTTACTCACGTTAATATCAACCAGTTTCTCCTGTTTTCCATATTGGCAGAAGCTATTAATTGCTAATCTTCCAGAAGTATACAATATTTTAGTGCTGTGTGGATCCAGAGCATGACTCTTAGAGAGCCGTGGAAGTCCTGTCTTTCACTTTTTCATACCTTTGCCTCTTTTCTGGACAGTTTATCAAGTGGATGAGTTGCTTGCTTTTATGATTATTGACTGCTAAAGAATTTGAAAAGGCTATGTTATTTTAATATGTGAGAGAATTAGGGCTTTGTTTTGGAAACTGGTCTAATAACCAACATATTTCTATGAGGAAATCATATGACATCTCAAAATAGATCAAAATCTTAAGGAGCAATTTTAATACTTCTTTTGTCAGATTCTTCTATTAGGTGATTTATTATTATAAATTAGATATGCAGTTTTTAAAAGAACCACTAAAAATAAGACAGTTTTTAAAAATGTGGATTCTACGTAACTGTGAAAGACAAGAATATATTCTACTTTTAATGAAATATCCTATATTATTTCACTGTTTTCCTTCAGTTTTTCCTATAGATTTTATTGTAAACAATTCTTTGTTTGAAGTCTGATTGAGCTTACTTTGGATTATTTAATTTAGACTGTGTTTAATTTTGAATCATCCTGTCAACTATTTTGTACTTCATTACATTAGTGTTAGAGTTTGTTCATTATAAATGAGTCCAATTTCAAATTATTATTTAAAGAATTGAATATCATAAGAGTCCTGTTGACTCAAGAGAATTAATGTTTCTCTTCAAAAATGGAAAATATACCTCCTGGTATGTGTCTGATGATTTATATTGGCATTTTATTATCAGAAATAACTGTTAATAATAGGCCACCTTTTGAAAACATCAGTTTTATGATTATGGCATAAGTCATGTGTTTTCTAGAATGTACTAATTTCCTGGGCTTGGTTTTGTTTTTTAGAATTCAATGACTGCACTTATTGTGGCAGTAAAAGGAGGCTACACACAGTCAGTAAAAGAAATTTTGAAGAGGAATCCAAATGTAAATTTAACAGATAAGGATGGAAATACAGCTTTGATGATTGCATCGAAGGAGGGACATACAGAGATTGTACAGGATCTACTTGATGCTGGAACATATGTGAACATACCTGATAGGGTAGGTTACCTGTTTGTTTTCTAGAGGTGACATTGATGGAAGATTACCTTAACTTCTCACCACCTTTCAAGGTTCTTCATGAATGACATATATTTGTTTTAAGACGTTTTATTTCTACCTTTAGAACTAATAAGTTAAAAAACTATTCAATCTTTGTGAAGGGTGTTCTTTTTAATTTTTGTCAAATAATATTGTAATTGAGAATGTCACATGTACCATTAGTCTGTAACTGTCCTGATGTTTGTCACTGTAGGTGTTGTTCCTGGCTAGTTTTATTCATTGTCCCAAGGCTTCAGGTACCACCCTTACACTTACAATTTTCAAAATTATCTCTCTTGCTCTAATCTCTTCTCAGGACTCTACACTTGTATATCCAACTCTCTTTGAACTCTATACACTTGAATGTCTCATGGGCTTCTTAAATTTACGGTAAACCAGATGTCTTGTTTGTTTCATCCCAAACCTGCTTTTCCCTCAGTCTTCTCCATCTCAGTACATGGCACAACCATCCACCCTGTTGTTAAGACCCCAAATCCTATGCTTTAGCCTTGATTTCTCTTCCTCACTTACCACATCCAGTTCTCCAGCAGATTCCTTGACTGTACCTCCAAAATATATTCTTTATCTGTCCACTTCCTTTCATTTCCATTACCACCTCCCTTCTCCAAGCCAATGTCTCCCATTCTTATAGCATTAGCATATCAACTGAGTTCTCTTATTAGCTTTGATTTGTTCTCCACTCTGTTCTCAGAGTGACCTTTAAAGCAATAACTCTCATGTGTACACCTTTCTTTAAAGTCGTCTAAGTTTCCTCTTATACAGAGGATGAATGGTAAACTTCTTTAGTTTGGAAATACCAATGATATTGTCCTTGCCTAACTCTTTGTTCTCATTTTGTACTACTCTTACTCTTGTTTCAATAGGTTGCAGCCATATTAATTTTCTTTCCTTTTCAACACACTGATATTATTGCTGTCTTCGGGCCTTTGTACCAGCAGTGCTCTGTCTGGAATGCTGATCTTCATGATCTTCGTGTGGCTGGCTCCTCTGTCATTCCAGTCTCAGCTTAAACATTACCTCCTCAGAAAAGTCTTCAAGTTGCCCAATCCAAAGCAGCTACCCAGTCACTCTATCACAGCACTATATTTTAGTTTGTTTGCATAGCATTTGTCTGATTTTTCGTTTGTGTTTATTGTATGTTGTCTGTTTGTCTCCTCCAGACTAAATTCTCCCAGACCTGGGACCTTGTCTATGTTGTTTCCCAGTGTCTAGAACAGTGCATGGCACATAGTAAGCAATGAAATATTTATAACCTGTTATTAATTTGCTAGTCTGGACCCATATTAATGCTAACATTCTCAACTAAAATTTATCTGCCTTGAGTTTATTTCTGCTTTTAATGTAGTAGTAAAGATACTATGCCATGGTGCTAAACTTAATAATCCTCAAGGACCAGCATCTTGGTTTATAGCCCATTGGGGCCCACTCAGGACTGAGAGGAACCACACCTTATGGACTTACCCAACCCAAATTCCTACAACTGATTTGTAATTTAGCAGTAAAAAAAAAAAAAAAAAATTTGCCCATAGCCAAAATAGCCATTTCCCGTATTCGAAGTAGTGGAAAGATATAATTAATAATGATTATTGTTTGGTGAATATAATTTCAAAGCAAAGAGATGTCCTTATGAGGTAATGAACTTCATCTAAGCCTTGTACTGGTGAATGAGTCAGTCTTATGCACTGTGGGCCTGTAATGCCAAATTGACGAGAATGTGGATGCTGATCTGGGAATTATCCTTCTCCCTTAATTAAAGGTGGTTAGAAACCCACTGATGACTGTAGTTTTACAACTCCCTTTTTTAGAATCCATGACTTTCATCGGATAGCATTAGTCCAAGGGATTTGTATTATATAATTTCCAAATGTCCATGTTCGTTGACAGCCATGGTGTCATTTTATTTAATTTACATTTTTAATGGCAAGTTACCTTCAAAGAGAATGGCTTATTGTTCTAGGTGACTTGTTTCTGAACTTTTGTCATGGAATTTCAGAGTCCTCATGAGGTGTAAAGTCTTCTGTCCCTTACTTTAAGACCTTATTACTATTAGTTAACTAAAATTTTTCTCTTATTTAGAGATACTCTTTTTTCAAGAAATTTTCAGAAAAAATCTATTATCTTAATACATGATTAATCTTAACTTCAAAACTGTTTATTTGTTATCATCAATTCACTCTTTTTTTTTCTTTTTAGAGTGGGGATACGGTGTTGATTGGTGCTGTCAGAGGTGGTCATGTGGAAATTGTTCGGGCACTTCTTCAAAAATATGCTGATATAGACATTAGAGGACAGGTATGTGTGATGACAGCACTGCTGTTATCTCTGAGTATAATTGATTGTATGTATTGACTGATCATAATGTCATTCTTCCAGTTTCCTATGGATCCAAATCCATCTTTGAATCAAACTAATAAATACTATGCCACATGCTATGAGGGGGCTTAACATGGGACCCTTGCCTGTAAGAAGCATTCATTTTAGTTAGGAAGGTTTTAGTTTGTAAGTTCTGTTTATGTTTATTTTTATGTTTTTACATAAACATAAAAAGTGGTGCCACTTTGGTTGCAAGATGGCCTGTTAGTGATTGCCTAAGTGAAAGCTTCAAGTGGTGGGAAAGAGGGTGTGAAGGAAGGCTTTTGAAGGAAAACAGAATTTGAGTGAAGCATGAAAGATGAGTCGGATTTAGAAAGGTAGAGGAAAAGAAGGCTGGGTATTTCCAGCAAGGATAGTGGAATAATAGGATGAGAAAATTCAAGAAAATGGGAAAGTAGGGGCCAGCCTGGTGGCGTAGTGGTTAAGTTTGCGTGCTCTGCTTCAGCAGCCTGGGGTTCATGGGTTCGGGTCCCAGGGGTGGACCTACACACTTCTCATCAAGCCATCCTGTCTGGCGGTATCCCACATACAAAACAGAGGAAGATTGGCACAGATGTTAGCTCAGGGACAGTCTTCCTCAGGCAAAAAGAGGAAGACTGGCAACAGATGTTAGCTCAGAGCCAATCTTCCTCACCAAGATTTAAAAAAACAAGAAAAACCGAAAAGGAAATGGAAACATGAAAGACTATATTCCTTAGCTGGTGAATAAATTAGGCTGGCAGTGGGGTCGTGGAGAGTGTGGGATGGGAGATGGTGACAGAAATAGAAAGGGAGGTTTGAGCACCAAGCTAAGAAAATTGGGAAGGTAGTGTACATTTTTGAGAAGGGGAACTCCATTGGGGAAATTCTGGTATAGGAAGCTTAATGTAGCAGCAGTAGAAAGTCATTCATTATATTTTGGGTTAAAATCTTTTTTTCACCGGAAGGTGGTTACTGGATCACCTGTTTAGACTTTTACCTAACTCTTTTGTGTCTGTCAATCCTATTTTCCTAGGTTTTAGTCATTTTATTTGTTCTCCAGCTCTACTTTCAAGATATATGTGTATCTATTTTTGATTTTTGAACTAGATAGGATTTTATAGGTTCTGATCAAGACCGGTACATGAGCACGGGTTAGTGGAGATTAAGAAAGTCAGATTGTTTATGTGACTTCTCCAAGGATACAGAGCTCAGGTATTGATGAATTCCAGTCCAGGGCACGGTCCTGAAATCCGCTCGCGTTACAAAGCACACTTTATCAACTATGTGAGGTTGCTGCTTTCTAAGTCAAGTCATAGTAAATTTTCCTAGGCTTCTTTCATAAAGAATTTCTCAAAAGTAAGTCCAAGATAGAATAAGGGTTAATATTATTTCCCACCATGCTGCTTGTTGGTAAGATCTATTAATGCTCTCTGGCAGAAATGTGAATAAGGGTGTTTTATATTTACAAATAGTTTTTAATATTATATCTCTTATGAAGTGATTGTTGATTTTTTTTATTATATAGGACAATAAAACTGCTTTGTATTGGGCTGTTGAGAAAGGAAATGCAACAATGGTGAGAGATATCTTGCAGTGCAACCCTGACACTGAAATATGCACAAAGGTATAAAGACATTTCTATTCTCTTAGCCATACCCAGTGCTGAATAATTAGTACTGCTTGTTTTTTTCAATCATCTTTGTTTGATATTAGAATTATACTGATTTTACTGGTAATATGCTGCATTAAATTGATGAGCAACTATGTGTCCTTTCAGGAGTTATGTATTCACAGCAAAATACAGTGTGTAACTTGTTACTTTAATTAAACACTTTCAGAAAATACAGTATCAACTATTCATAAACTGTGGAAAGATCATTTCCCCAGAATTCTTTCATGCTCCTGTTGTTTGGAATGTAAGACACATTTCCTTTTAAAAGACCTTTGTGAGTGGTTATTGGTTCCCCAAAGCAGCCACTTTAGTCTGTTTTTACTCACATCATGTGAAAGATATAAAACTGTATAAGACTTTAGGTGATTGTATTTGGCCTTATGTGTAATAGTTCCATGGGGAAAATATTTTGGAATTCTGGACTGAAGTGGCAGGAATTCATAATGAATAAAGGAAACTTATGGAATCACCCATAAGACAATCCTATTTCATCTGCTAGAGATCGGGACCAGCATCTTTCTAAACTGATGATGGTAACTTCAGTGCCCTAGGGCAGAAAGTTTCCTGGGATCCCTCCTGGTTCGCAGGTGGCTCCTTGATAATATTTGGACCCGTATCAGCCACTTTGACCAGTGGTGGCTTCTCACCAGGTTTTGGTCTTTTCTAATTCAGTGCCGAACTATGGTCTCTTCTTATTTTCCTTAATTTGATTTTGAAAACAATTATGAACCCTTTTGAGATTCTCCAAAGGCATACTGCTTGTATCAGATTGTTTTCTCTGTTACACCCAGGTCCTTAGGTATGCATAGAACTGAAGTGATGCTGGTATAGACTTCAGAAAAATCTAGACACTGGCTTGCCTGGACATTGACTGGCTGGGCTGTGGGTTGGTTGCTGGGGAGAGGGTGAGAATGGGAAGTAGTCTTTGAATGTGCTGCCCCAGATGTAAGGGTGGAACCTGGGGAATGGCAGCAGCAGTGAGAGGCAGGGAACTGTTACTATAAATGGCTGATGAGCAGCTGGGTACATCCCATACTCAGCTGAGTGATATAACATTGTTTTGATACAGATGATTGGTTGTGAAAGGAAGCACTTTTGTTAGTTTTTACAACTATGTTTTCTTGAGAACATTTTCAGTATAGACTGGTACCAGAGCCAGATGTTTGAATTCTTACATGTGCATTTATGTAACTTTAAACATTTAGGAGTAAAGCTGTTACTCTGGCAAACCTTCTTCTCTGTGCCCACAGGATGGTGAAACTCCACTGATAAAGGCTACCAAGATGAGGAACATTGAAGTGGTAGAGCTGCTGCTGGATAAAGGGGCTAAAGTGTCTGCTGTGGACAAGGTACAGCTGCTGCGCCACGAGAGCACTTTCTGGAAGGCAGTTGGGTAGACTGACCTCTCTATCTGGTGGGCTGAAGGGGCTCTGATTTTATTTTGTGGAAGGAGAGATTACTTGTGGGGATATCTGTGTGGGATTTTGATGCTGTGATGTCTTCTTGGCTGTCCCGATGGCATGCTGAGAAGTGTGCTATTAAAGAAGCTGCTTCAGATTTTCCTTCTATTGCTCATACCAGTTATGGGGAGCTGCTGTTGACCACCGTACAAGGAGGATGTCATCAGGTTGCAGATAAACAGAAAGAAAGAATCCAAAAGGGTTGGGGAAGATAGACTCTTAAAGCAGACTGGCATTAGTGTTCACTAATAGGAGGGAAAATGTCCTGCCATATGCCCTCTCCATAATCCTTTCAGAGAAATTTTCATGTTTTACATAATAAATTTAACTATAAATTGCTTAATACTTCATATAGAATTGATTCCTGGTTTTAATTTGTTTTAATTTTAAACAGGGTCCTTTGTCTACTTTAGTTGAGTTCTTCCCAGAAGAGAAGTCAGTTGATTTATGTATGAAGTAAGAAATATAGATTTTTCCCTCTAAATGTATGCCATGATTTGGGCTTTCCTAATTTATAATAGATTGAAGTTTATCTTTCTGTTATTTATGAGGCAATTAAACAAAAAACGCAGAATCAATATGTATTTGCCTTTATTTTATCAAGAAACATCATTTAAAAAACAACAGGAAAATCCCACCTATTATTACCACGTTAATATAGTTTCATATAAAATAAAGGAAACTTTAACATTAAAAATTAGGAAGGACATAAAGACAAAGGAGAGATTTTGAAGTTGATTATATTTAGCTTTATAGAAAACTTCCTGTGTTGCCTGTTTTTCTCATTCTACCATTGACTTGTTTCTGGCCCTGATCCTCTAATTTGCAGTAAGCAACCACTGGACTACATGCTCTGGAAGGTGCCATATGGCCTCATTAATTCTGTAACATGCCCTTTAGAAATAATTGTTTCATACTTATTAATACGTTTCCTGAAGGACTCTGTCTCAGTACCCTTTTGTGTGTTGCTGTGCCCTGAGTCAGCACATACTTGCCGACAAGCATACAAGATAGTTGGAATAGTTGTTCGTTCATTTAACACATACTTACTGAGGACAGATAAAGTGCTGTCCTGCTAGAATTTGAATACAAACTTGTGAAAGTCTTGAACCTGGTTCTTCATAGATGATTTCATAAAAGTCCATTTAAGAATAAAGATTAATGGTATTTTTACCTAGCCCATCACTGATCTCTGTTTATCTTCAGCATATTGGCAGGATGTGTTAATGTCTTCCCTGCATTTTCAGGAATTTTGTATTTGGCAGAAATGCCACTGATATATTTCTGCCTTCACAGGCTTAGGGTTAAGAAATGGGGTTCAGGTGGGGAAATACGATGATGAAATCTGATTTAGATGTGTTTAGTTTGAGGTCTGATAAGACATTTGGGAGGCTGTGACCATTAGGCATTGGGAAATGTGGGACTAGAATTTGGGTAAGAAATCAAGGCTGGTGATGGTAATATGCCAGTTAGTTACCAAGGCATGCGAGTTGCCTGAGAGTGACCGAGATCATCAATGGGAAGAAAGATGAGAGCTAAGGTCCATACTTTACTTCTCTTATGGCATGTGTCACTTTCTAGTTTGTGTTATAATTGTGCATATTTATCCAGTCTCTTCCTTTTACATCGTAAGCTATTTAAGGTTAGTGACTGTTTTGTCTTCCACCTTGATGTCATCAAAGTCTTCAGCACAGTGCCTTACATATGGTGAGCTCAATACATAGTTATTGTGCCATATTTAGGACGTAGGAAGAGAATCTAGAAATGGGAGTAGAGCTGAGGCAGAAGAGGGAAGTCAAAGTCAAGATAAGGTTGTGCCATAGAAGCCATAGGAGAAACATTGCAGGTCATTTTCATTTAGTGTTCCAGAAAGATCAGGATGGATGAGAACTGAGAATTTAATTTAACTTTTAGGTCATTTTCTTCAAGAGAGGTCTTTGTGAAGAACAAGTGAGAATTCTTTGCAGACTGAAGAAGTCTCTTTTTTTTTTAACATGCTAGTTTTCGTTAGAGTGGCTTGTGAATATTAATATGATTAGAGATTCTAATAAGGGAAGAAGGTAGGTTGATATTAGGGAGAAGTCAATGGTGAGGAGAGCAGAAGAGGTTGTAGTAGCCAGAGAAGGACAGATACAATATAAAGGCCTCCGAGGGAAAGAACGAAGATAGAACAAAATTTAAGGGCTCAGCATGAGGGTGGCTGGTAAACAGAGGGCTTTGAAGCAGACAGGATCACTCGTGTTAGGTGGGGTATCAGCATGGATTGTGAAGCTTACCAGACAAATGGAGAAGAAGAAAGTTGTGAAATGAAATATAAATTGCGGAAGGTGGTTGACATCCGTGGACAGCAAACATTTGGATGGTGGGTGGTTATTATTATCCACCATGATGGGAGTGGATCCGTGGCCTGGGGGGAGGCACAGGGAAAAAGCTTGTTGCTTCTCCTCTTTCAGTGAGTTGAGGGGAGGGAGAAGAATGACCTTCATTCTGGAGGGCTGTGGCAGATATAATACCTGAGAAAAGGTAGGTAAGGAACTGGAGAAAGAAATTGCAGGGAAGATAAAGATAAAAATTCATGTTATTTATGTACTTTATATGAAAAATATGAAAAGTTGAGAGTTTCTGTTATTTTACAGGAACATGATAATTGTTACTCTGTATATACTATATGTAAAAAATATGAAAGTTTAAGTTCCCCGCCACTGTTTTCCAGAAAGGAGACACTCCTTTGCATATTGCTATTCGTGGGAGGAGTCGGAGACTGGCAGAACTGCTTTTAAGAAATCCCAAGGACGGTCGATTACTCTACAGGCCTAACAAAGCGGGCGAGACTCCGTACAACATTGACTGCAGCCATCAGAAGAGTATTTTAACTCAGATCTTTGGAGCCAGTAAGTATTGGGTTTTCTTCCTGACTGAGCTTTTAAAAAATGCGCGTTCTATGAAAAAATTGAGGCCAACAACAATTTTGCATTTGTTACTTACTTAACTGGAAATTGTAAAATTTGAGAAACTTATTAATTTACAGTGGGAAAATACTCCTTCCTATCTAAAGTTCTTTTGCCTTGTATTATAGCATTCTAAATTAAGTACATTGAGTCATCAGTCAGCTTTTAAGAACTCTAAAAATCTAGCCTACTTTTCTAAAAATCTTTTCCCCCATTGTTCTCCCAGGTGTACTTTGTGCTTTTTATCAAAACATGCTCTGTTTTCTCTGTGGCTCAAGCACTTAGAGTTCCCCACCTTTGCTTGTGTTGTGCGCTTCCATCCCCAGTAATGTTGAATTTGTTAGTCCCTCTCCAAGACTCCTGTCAGTTGTGCCCTTCTTGGTGGTGTTCAAATGGATCTGCCTTACCAGATAAATTTTTTGCCTCATTTGAATACTTAAACTCTTGTGTTTATGTTTCTTTTTCTAAATACTTATTGTATATGGCCTTTTATTCTGTTTCTTTTAGGATTTTCTTTCTTTCAGATTCCGGGTTCTTCAGGGCTGGAACTATTTCTTCTTATCTTTGTGTCTTCTGTAACATCTAGCATAATGCATTGAATATTGTCCTAAAATAATTTTTGATTGAACAGTATGCACGTGAGAATTTAATCATGCATATGTAGTGTTTTGAAATATGGGGCAGTTTTCTACTAGAATTAAAAAGGAGATATGTTGGTCCCAGAAACCAACAGGAGTTTAGCTGTTTCTTTACGCCTTGTTTTTAAGTATGATTCTATTGTATTATGAATTCTTGTATTTTAAATATTTTTTCTAATTATAATAATAATGGACACATTAAATTTTAAGAATGAAGATACAAATATTGCAGAAAGTACAAATTTCCCGTTGTCCCCTGTCTCCTGATTCTTGATTGTTTGAATGACCCTCCTGGATTTTCTTTACATTTCTAAAAATATTTTGTACTACGTATATAGCTTTAAAAAAATAAAAATTGGATCATACTATGTTATAAAAGTTTTTAATAATGAACTGTATCATATTTTGTTATATAATCTTTTATTGAAGGTTCTAATAGTACATTCGGTTCTCTATTGATGAATATTTGGTGTGTTTTGTTAAAAGCCAGTGCTGCAGTGAAGATCTTTGTACATATAGTCATGTGCCCCTTAACGATGTTTCAGTCAATGATGGAGGTCGTAACGTACAGCTAGGCGTGTGGAGCAGGCTATGTGATCTAGGTTTGTGTGAGCACATTTTATGATGTTTGCACAACAATGAAATCACCTGAGGAATTTCTCAGAACATAGCCCCATCACTAGGCAATGCATGACTCTATACCCATTAACCCTTATTTTTAAGATTATTTCTTTGGAATAAATTCCCAGAAGTAGGACTGGCAAGTCAGTGGGTGCTCACAGTTTTGATAGACTTTCCATAACGGTTGTAACGACTTTTTCTCCCTCAGACTGGATACAATAGTGCAGTTCCCCACAACCTTGCTAACGCCAATATTTCCGGCTTCTTTAACCTTTGCTAATCAGATCAATAAGGAAAAAAACCTCTCATTTTAATGTGCGCTGTAAAATTATTAGTGAGATTGAGATCTTTTAATATGTTCATAGGCTATTTGTATTTTTGCCATTTTCCTCTTTGTATCTTTTGCCCACTTTTTTCTTGAGTTTTTAATATTTAAAAAAAATTGATTTTAAGTATCTTTATATGTTATGGATATTGATCCTGGATGCATCCTATATGTTGCCTCCCTCTCCCCAGCTTATTCTGTGTTTATGGTAATGAGTTTTTATATTCCCCATCCAAAAGTTATACGTTTTTATTTTTATTTTTTTTAAAAATTGGCACCTGAGCTAACGTCTGTTGCCAATCTTCTTTTTTTTGTTTTTTTTTTCTTCTTCTCCCCAAAGCACCCCAGTTCATAGTTGTATATTCTAGTTGTGGGTGCCTCTGGTTGTGCTATGTGGGACACTGCCTCATCCTAGCCTGATGAGCGGTGCCATGTCCACGCCTGGGATCCAAACCAGTGAAACCCTGGGCCGCCGAAGCAGAGTGCAAGAACTTAACCATTCGGCCACGGGGCCAGCCCCTACATTTTTATAGTTTATTTGTCAATCTTATCCTGCAGTTCTGCCCTTAGTATTATATTGAGAAAGAGAGACTTTTTCCATGTGAACATTTTTTTTTTTTAAGATTTTATTTTTTTCCTTTTTCTCCCCAAAGCCCCCCAGTACATAGTTGTATATTCTTCATTGTGGGTCCTTCTAGTTGTGGCGTGTGGGACTCCGCCTTAGCATGGTTCGATGAGCAGTGCCATGTCCGCACCCAGGATCTGAACCAACGTAACACTGGGCTGCCTGCAGCGGAGCGCGCAAACTTAACCACTCTGCCACGGGGCCAGCCCCTCCATGCAAAGATTTTAAAAGTTTTTTCTCTTATGTTTTCTTCTAGTATTTTTATGGTTTTAGTTTTTACATTTAATTTTTTAATATTTCAGAAACTTATTTTTGTTAAAGTGTGAGATATATAGAGTTTTAATTTTATCTTTCAACAAATGGATGGCTTGGGCCAGCCCCAGTTGCCTAGTGGTTAAGTTTGGTATGCTCAGCTTCAGCAGCCTGGGTTCAGTTCCTGGGCACCAACCTACACGGCCATCTGTGGCTGTGGCTCACGTACAACAACAGGAAGAGTGGCAACAAATGTTACTTCAGGGCAAATCTTCCTCAGCAAAAAAAAAAAGATGGCTAACCTCTCCCAACACCACTTACTAATGCGTCTTTTCCCCACTGATTTGAAATGCCACATATGCTAATATCCTGTGCTAGTCCTATGATGTTCTGATTATTGTAGCTTTATGGTGTATTTTGATTCCTCTCCATAGATAACTGTTCTTTGGTAGTCTTTAAAGCTTTTTCTTAGCTATGCTTACATATTCTTCTTGCTTTTCAGTTTTTCAAAAAATTCTCATAGATTTTGATTAGAAGTTTTTGTTCATTTGTTTTTTGTTTTTTTTTGTTATTGTTTTTCTTGGTTTTTTTTGAGGAAGATTAGCCCTGAGCTAACATCTGCCGCCAATCCTCCTCTTTTTGCTGAGGAGCCATGTCTGCACCCGGGATCCGACCCAGTGAACCCTGGGCCGCTGAAGCGGAACGTGCGAACATAACTGCTGTGCCACCGGGCTGGCCCCTGATTAGAATTTACTTAAAGTGATAGAGTAATTTGAGGAGAATTGCTGTCTTTGGGTCATTGAACCTTTCTGCCTGGAATCAAGTGTCTCTTTTTCTCCAGTTATCCATTATGTTCTTCAGTAGCATTTTAAACATTTTACAGCTTTCTTTATATAAGTATTACACATATTTATTCTTATGTTCTAGTTTCTGTTTTAATCATATTTGCTTGATTGCAAAATATACATTATTCCACAAATTAACATCTCTGAAATTGAAATATGGTTTGTAATTCGTGGTTAAGAAAGCACTATGTTACAATTTGCCAGCGTTTTTTCTTTCTTAATTGTACGTAATGATGCATCTTACAATCAGTGGATATCTTAAGTTCTATGAAATATGGTATTAATTTAAGAATCTCTGAATCTATTTTACACAGCTCTAGCCATTTAAAATGTTTTTTTCTCTTATTAAATAAACAATTGATAAATGAGAATTGGTGTTCTTTTCTAATAGTAATATATCTTTTTAATGTAAGGATACGGTGTGTTTATAATTACAGGACACTTGTCTCCTACTGAAACAGACGGTGACATGCTCGGTTATGATTTATATAGCAGTGCCCTGGCAGATATTCTCAGTGAACCCACCATGCAGCCACCCATTTGTGTGGGGCTATATGCACAGTGGGGAAGTGGGAAATCCTTCTTACTAAAGAAACTAGAAGGTAAAGGGCATGTTTGTGTAAAGTCTATGTACGTAACAAGGTTTTCTCTGGTGTTTTCTTATGAAGTAAAGAAAAACAGAGTTTTGTGTATGGTAATGTGTGTTACACAGTTTACTAAATTGAATGTATTAGGGTTTTACTCTCCCCTAGTTGATCCTCTACTTGGCCATTTGAGTTTTCTTTCTAAAACAAAGATCCAGTTGTGTTATAACACTTAAAACTCCTTGGTACCAGATTTTCTGTATATGCTATTTATAATCCTTGTGTCCAGGGCCCTTCTCAAACTTGTCAGCGTGCATGGCCACGCCTGCCACAACTACCTCTTGTATATGCTCCGTGCTGCAGTCACAGAAGGCTGTTGCTCTTGCAAGAACAGACCAGACACTTTTCCTGAGTTGCTCCCTCTATAAGGAGCTTTCTAGACAGCTTCTCCCCCACCTTTTGCTTGGCAAAATCTTACTCATTCTTCAAGGACAGGTTTCAGTAGTGCCTGTAAAATTTTTACTAAGTTTTGTAGAAAGAATGACTTGTTTATGGCTTATTTAGGCTCAGCGCATACCTTTCAGAGCAGTGATTCTCAAATGTGCTTGGAGGGAGAAGAGATGAGGAGGGGTATCAGGAACGGTGGGGATACATAGTTTGAAGACACGTAGCAAAGTAATGATTTTCAGTTTTATATATGGAAACAATACCTTGTTGCTTGTGTAATACCACAAAAGGGAAATATCAACAAAATCATGACGGATAGGCATATGTGGAAAAGAATTTTGTGCATCCTCAATATGAAGCAGGAGAGTGGGTGAGACAAGGGTAGGTGTGCCACTAGGGAATGATGTTTTTATGTTTATTAGAAAAGAACATTGGTTCAAGTGGTTAAGTAGCAACATTTTACCTAGGGATTTGGTAAGTGCCCAATAAAATAAGTATTTATGTTGAAAATGGGAAAATTTCAAATTGAGCTAGAAGTTGTATTTCTAAACAAAACAGGATAAGATTTTCCTGTTAATTTCTCTTTCAGATGAAATGAAGACTTTTGCAGGACAGCAGATTGAACCTCTTTTTCAGTTTTCCTGGCTTATAGTGTTTCTGACCCTGCTGCTTTGTGGAGGGCTTGGTCTGTTGTTTGCTTTTACAGTCGACCTAACTCTTGGAATAGCCGTGTCACTGAGCTTCTTGGCTCTCCTATATATATTTTTTAGTAAGTCTTTGAGTTTTATCTTTTTCAAAAGTAGAGAAAATGTCTCATTGTTTTACTTAAAAAATATATATCTCTTAAAATCTGTGATTTTCATAATTAGGTGAGAAAAATTGATCTTTTTGCTATAATATTAGTTGGCCGAGAGGAATATTGTGGAGTAGCTCTAAAACTTTGTCATTGTTGTTAGTGCCATCCAATCAATTCTGACTCCTAGCGACCTTGTGGACAGCAGAGTGGAAGCCTGCTCAGTCTTTTTGCACCATCCATCCTCTCACCTTCTGATGCTATATCAGACAATGCTCTACAGCTATTCGTAGAGTTTTCATGGCCAATCTTTTGGAAGTGGGTGTCCGGGTCCTTCTCCCTAGTCTGTCTTAGTCTGGAAGCTCTGCTAAAAAGTGTCCACCATGGGTGACCCTACTGGTATTTGAAATCCTGGTGGCATAGATTTCAGCATCACAGTGACATGCAGCTATCATAGTATGACAGCTGACACACGGGTGGTGCTGTTCCCTGACTGGGACATGAACTCAATGAGAGTGCTGAATCTTAACCACTAAACCACCAGGACTGGCTAAAAAACTAGTGTACTACTTGTTAATATTGAAGCAGAACTCTAATTTATTATACTTACCCTTTTATATGTTAATTAATGATTTATATTTAAATCTTTTTTGAAAATAAGTCTTCATAGCCCTCACTGGCATGCTCTTGAGTATTTTGATTGTGACTAATTTTTATTTTATCTAAAAGCCAAAAAAAAAAATATATATGTATATATAATTCTGGTTCTTGGGGTGTATTGAGTTGCGAAAAAGGAAATAGAGTTACTTTTGGAGGAATTGGTAACTTCAACAGTTGCAAATAGTGATAAACCCAAAGTCATTTACAGTTGAATCTGAACTAGGTAATATGTTTCTGTTTAAGGCATTATCTTTCTAATTGTGTTTCTTATATCATTTTTTACTCAGTTTATTTTCCATTTTTCACATGCTTTCTGTATATTGGGGAAAGTTAATTGATTAAAGAAATCTTAGAAGAGAAGTTAGGAATTACATGGGACCATGAAAAGTTATGTAAGCCTACTGTCATTATTTGATATTTGACTATTTGGACAAAAGGGGCTGCCTTAGTGATGGTCACTTTGGATAATTCTTTTTTAAACTGTGACTTTCAGTTGTCATTTACTTTGGTGGACGGAGGGAAGGAGAGAGTTGGAATTGGGCCTGGGTCCTCAGTACTAGATTGGCAAGACATATTGGATATTTGGAACTCCTCCTCAAATTGATGTTCGTGAATCCACCTGAATTGCCAGAGCAAACTACTAAAGCTTTACCTGTGAGGTGAGTTGGTCCCTTTGACAGAAGTAATTTTTAATAAGATGAAGCAAAATAAAGTTTATAATGCGTTGTTTCTCACTGTACATTCCAAAAAACATTGATCCCTTGGACTTTTTTAATTTTTAATGTTTAATTTGTTTTATTGAAGTAACACTGGTTCATAACATTATATAAATTTCAGGTGTACATCACTGTATTTTGATTTCTGTGTAGGTTACATCATGTTTACCACCCAAAGACTAATTACTATCTGTCACCATACACGTGTGCCTAGTTACCCCTTTCGCCCTCCTCCCTCCCCTTTCCTTGAACTTTTTATATAAGAAATAAAACAAACATGCCCTGGTCAAATATACTTGGGAAACACTTTGTATTAATCTCCCTCTTGTGCATTAAAGGATCAGAGACACTTTTCTATGAAGAAATCTGTTTCGCTTTGATTCACCAAATTTCATTTGAGCATAAGCCTTTTTTCCCTTATGACACCTCTTATCATCCTTTGGAAACACTTTGACAAGAACGCTGGATCCAGGATAGAGTCCCAGCACTTTTTTACATTACATTACATTGGTGTGTAACCTGGGCAACTCAGCTTGCACTCCAAGCTGCTCTTTCCTCATTTGTGGAAATATGTTTACTCGTCTGTCTGAAATTATTACTGATATCAAATGGGAAATGTATGAGCAAACAGTTCAGAAAAGAAGAAAAGCATGTACGTCAAGGAGTAAAGGAAAGATAGAGGGCTCCAGAGGAAAGTAAAATGAAAAAACCCCAAAGATTAGAGAAGTGAAAGCAGAAGGAATTCAGTAGAAATTAGGAAAATACTTAAATATGTGCTAAAAGATTAAGAACTTAAAAATTATTATAAGATAAAATATGTGTAATTTAAGATGAAAGTAAATAGGGTAAACCAGATAAAACATGAAAACTGTAAGAGAAAAAGGTAAAAGCTTGCAAGTAATTAGCATATAGGATTAAGTATTAAGAAAAGAATTTAAAAATGAAAAAGTTAAAAAGAAAACATAGAATAGAATTGGAATATTTTTACAGAAAATAAAAATATTTTAAATTAATGAGATGATATTGTTTAAAAAGTTTGACCAATTAAAATAGCATAAATCAAGACCACACAATATATGACAGTATGATCCTAGATTGTATTTTGAAAGCAATGCCAACCCACTGGATTAAGATGAGAGTTTAATTTAGGGATGAAAGGGGAAAAAGGGAACTATTGCAGAAATAATATCCATTCAGAGAATCAAAATAAAAATAATTCAATTATTTCAAAGAACAACTGTGAAATGATTACTTTACAACTTATTTCTAAATCCCTGTACGTGTTTAAGTTATAAATAAAAGATTCTAAAACTTGAGTTTTGACGTGGCATTAAATTCTTAACGACCATAGTATTTTCTCAAGGTTCTAATCTCTTCAGTTGGTGCTTAGAAAACTTTCTTTGTGCAGCTCTTTTCGGCTACATCCTGATGTGGGGTGCCACCTTTTAATTGCTGTATCATGAGATCTCTGTCCAGATGTCTGATTCCTCGTCTAAGCTCTGTCATAACTTTTTCCCCTTATGCCTTTAGTCAGAATTACTTCATATAACTCTGCTGCATTTAACTTCTGTTTTTGTCTTTTTCTAAGAAAGGTATGTAAGATGTTAGAAATGGAAGATACCTAATTACAAGTTCTTTTTCCTCAGAATTTTAAAAACAATATTTTGAAAGAAGTGTAAAATGTAGGGTAAATGGTACAGAGATGAGATATGTTGAAATTATTTGTTTTTTTAGGTATCTGAGTAATGTTTTATTTCCTCTTTCCCTAAGGTTTTTGTTTACAGATTACAACAGGCTGTCCAGTGTAGGTGGAGAAACGTCGATGGCTGAAATGATCGCGACCCTCTCAGATGCTTGTGAAAGAGAGTTTGGCTTTTTGGCAACCAGGCTTTTTCGAGTATTCAAGACTGAAGATACACAGGGTGGGACTCCCCTCCTTCTTCTTTGTCTGTGTGTAGGGGTTGAGGATGGGATGAGTGTTCAGTGCATACCCACAAAAACATGAATTGAACATCAGATTCATCATGCTGTCACTGTAATGATTAGGATTTTCTTTCCAGATACTTGATATGTAAATAATTTTCAAAACCATTTGTTGTATTACAGGTAAAAAGAAATGGAAGAAAACGTGTTGTCTTCCATCTTTTGTCATCTTCCTTTTTATCTTTGGCTGCATTATTGCTGGAATCACTCTTCTGGCTATATTCAGAGTTGACCCAAAACATCTGACAGTGAATGCTGTCCTCATATCAATTGCGTCTGTAGTGGGATTGGCCTTTTTGCTGAACTGTCGTACGTGGTGGCAGGTGCTGGACTCTCTCCTCAATTCTCAAAGGAAACGCCTCCATAATGCTGCCTCCAAACTGCACAAATTGAAAAGTGAAGGATTCATGAAAGTAAGCACTCATCATAATTAGGAAATAATTGTAATGTGAATATGCTACCATGATCGTTGAGCTTTAGGAGTGTACTCTCTAAGTGTTACAGTGTCGCATTTGTTTTAGTTATATTCAGGTTTTTCCTGTGGAAATGTGTATTTGAAGAAGCAAAAGTTAAAACAATAACATGTTTTTATAAAATAGACTTTTACAAGATACTCAAGGGAGTGAGCAGATTACTCCACACGTGGTAATTCTTACCTGATAATATTAGTTCCCCCAAAGCCTGATAGAATAAGCAAATTGAACCACCAAAACGTATAAAGTACAATCATAGTTTTACAACCAAAAGGGACCTTATTCAATATCTGTAGCCCCTTCCTTGGATCAAGGTCATGCGTCATCAGGAGCCAGCTGTGTTGTGGTGTTTAGATCATTTGAATTTGCATTCAGTTCAAGTCTTTTGACATTCAGAGCATGTGATCTTGGCAAATAAGTCACTTAACCCAGTTTGTCCTTTTAAAATGGCTATGACAGTATCCACCTCTTTTTAAGACTGAATGCTCTGATTTACGTGAAGTCACTTTGTAAATTGTGAAGTGCTCACTACAGTTTTAAGTGGAACCACAACTTGCTGTGAGGTCTTTGGATTTCTTTTCTTTCTGTTAGAAGGCTTTCAGGCTTTTTAAGAAATATGCTTAACTTTCTCATATCTTCAGTGCTGTCTATCCTTTCTTTTGCACAGGTTCTTAAGTGTGAAGTGGAATTGATGGCCAGGATGGCAAAAACTATTGACAGCTTCACTCAGAATCAAACAAGACTGGTGGTTATCATCGATGGGTTAGATGCCTGTGAGCAGGACAAAGTTCTCCAGATGCTGGACACTGTATGTCTTAACCATCTTGAAACTTGTAATTGTCACATATGGGGCAGCTAAGAGGAATGACTTCATGAATATCTCAAATGGAATATTAATAGTACTTTTTCCTTTGTAAAAATAAACATTTTTTTAATGCAAAAACATAGCATAGCATGTTTCATCACAAATAGATTTAAACAATTTTAGCTTAATGGCAGTATGAGGAAAAAATGAATAGAGTAGCTCTGAAGTCCGTAGTGTGACTCCAGCTTTTCTCTGCAGATAGTTATGGTTAGAGTCAGAGAGAAAAGTAGGGAACTCACAGGATTTGTGGAGTTTTTGTTGAAGTAGGGCACCTCAGTGACCCTCTGTAAGGTATGTTATAGCAGCAGTGTGTAACTGTAGGCAGAGACCAGCGTGCCTGGGACTTGATGTGTATTCACAGATATTTCCCATGGATGTTGATCTTACCTCTTATGTCGATCGTAAGTGTCTCAAACTAAGACAGGATTAATTGTTTTCTTTTGAGGTTTTATCACTCTCAGATGGTGAAAAATTGTCAGATAGTGAAAAACCAGATTGAGACTTCAATCAAATTTGTTTTCATATAGAATAATATTTCAATGAAAAAGAAATAGTATTTAAAAAATATAATCACCAAAGGGTAATAGATTTTGAAGAGATTTTTTAATCTTTGAATAATGTAAAATTTATATCGTAAGTATACCTTTCCTCCCACAGGTCCGAGTTCTGTTTTCAAAAGGCCCATTCATTGCCATTTTTGCAAGTGATCCACATATTATTATAAAGGCAATTAACCAAAACCTCAATAGTGTGCTTCGTGACTCAAATATAAATGGACACGACTATATGCGCAATATAGTTCATTTGCCTGTTTTCCTTAATAGTCGTGGACTAAGCAATGCGAGAAAGTTTCTTGTAACTTCAACGACAAATGGGGACATTCCGTGCTCAGATACTGCAGGTAAAGATCAAATTCCTCAGGTACCTTGGGTTTGAAGTAGTTCTATAATTTTTTATGATGACTTACCTTTTGCCTTGAAAAATATTGTTGGTATTTCACTTCTTTTTAAATATCGTATACAACAGAATTTTAGTACAAGTAGCGCTCTCTTGATAAATTCTTTAAGGGATACAGGAAGATGCTGACAGAAGAGTTTCACAAAACAGTCTTGGAGAGATGACAAAACTCGGTAGCAAGACAGCTCTCAATAGACGGGTAAGATGCCATTTGTTTTGAGCCCTATGTTTTTACTGCTATTATTCAAATAAACCTAAGGTGATACCACTTAAATAATTTTTCATAAATAGTGTGTTAAGCTCATCAAATAGCTTTTATCATTGAATTTCCTTTCAGCTTCAGTTGGTTTTTCAGGGAAGGTCTGAACCTAGGCTGTAATAACTATAAATTGTATAGGAGTCCTTGTCCTCTCCCCACCTGTTCTCAGTCCAGGTGCCACTCCAGACCCCAGACCGACTGAATCAAAATCTCTGAGAGTGAGATTTTAAAGCTCCCCAAATGATTTCATCCAGGGCTGAGAGCCACTGTATTCATTCCACTTCAGTTTGTATTTATTCCAGGTACCCATTGCCACCATAGCTGTAAGGGAGAAAGAGGCTTATAGTGTGAGCAGAAACTCCTTACTTTATCTTCCTCTTGGCCTTCCTCCTCCCTAACGTCTGTGAGGTGTGACTTTCTTCTATACCCACACGGCAATTTTGTGCCCTTCCCAGCCACCTTGGGCTTCTCCTTGAATCCTCTAGTTGTCCCTGTCCTACCCCATTTGTAGAACCCTCTTGTATAGAACAAGGGAGGAGTACAAGACAGGAAGATGTCCACTTGCAGGTAAGTTATGGTGATAATACCACTTAAAGATGGTTAGGTAGCTAGCATTGGCACTGTTTTTTTTTTTTTCTAGTTTGCTGCCATTGAATTTGGACATTTTATGTTTTAAAAAATGTGTCTTCAGTGATGTTTGGTTTTATGACTCCACCCTATACCAATCTTCCTTGACTTACACTGGGGTTACATCCTGATAAATCTGCCATGAATTGAAAATATAAGTCAAAAATGCATTTAATATACCTAACCTACCGAACATCATGGCTTACCCTTGCCTACCTTGAACACTTACATTAGCCTACAGTTGGGCAAAATCATCTAACACAAAGCCTGTTTTATAATAAAGTGTTGAATATCTCGTGTAATTTAATGAATACTGTACTAAAAGTGACAAACAGCTTGGCTGTGTGGGTGCAGAATGGTTGTAAGTGTATTGATTGTTTACACTCATGATCATGTGGCTGACTGGGAGCTGCAGGGCCTGCCGCTGCCCAGCATCATGAGAGAGTGTCGTACTGCATTTTGATAGCCTGGGAAAAGATGGAAATTCAAAATTTAAAGTAAGGTTTCTACTAAATGCGTATGGCTTTCGCACCATCATAAAGTCGATAAATTAAGTTGAATCATTGTAATCGGAGACCGTCTGTGCATGTATGGATGCAAAATTACTATTATGCATGACAACTGTTAGCACTAAAGTAAGAGGAGGGTATGATTTACCATTTTGAATTTCTCTCCTGGGAGTCTGGCCTCTTGGGCTCCCTGTGGTTGCCTCCACCATTCCCTTGTTTCGTGACATTAGATGAGTACACATCTTTGTTGTGCCTGTTCCTCTCTGATTAGATGGATTCCCTACCCCACCCCAACCAGGAGAGCACCTTTAATTCTTATGCGGATGTGAGGATGTTAGAGCAGCTCTGCCCTTTAGGTAGTTGTCACACATTTAAAAATAACCTAAAATCAAAATACTGAATTCTTAAAACTAGATAAGCGTAACTTGCTTTATTATTTCAGGGTTCCTATAAATACTGAGCTCCTATAACAGTTGAACTGAATTCTCTTTACATAATTCTGCCTACTTATAATCTTCAATGCACTAAGCTTTCTTTAACTGCACAATTATAAATCAAAATACATCTGAAGCTAAACCATAGCATTTGATGCAGTTGCTGCTAATATTATTTTAAAACTATTCTGTAAAGATTCTGCCTCAGGGAATAATAATACTTTTTATTATTATATGATCTTTCCCTTAGACTAAAATTTTGGATTTTTTTGTTGTTGTCATGAACATGTACTAACTTCTCAGAAAGCCGTAAGTTCTTGGACTTGGCATATGGACTCGTTCTCATTGATGATGCACTGTTTCAGGACACTTACCGGAGAAGGCAGATGCAGCGGACGGTCACTCGGCAGATGTCCTTTGACCTCACAAAACTGCTGGTTACGGAGGACTGGTTCAGCGACATAAGTCCTCAGACTATGAGAAGGCTACTTAATATTGTTTCTGTGACAGGTGACTTTTGTTTCTTTTTGTCTTATGGTAGATAATAAGCTTTAACATTAACAAAGCAGTTCAGTTTCAGAAACAAAGGAATGTACCATTTGTATGTTGATGTTTGTACTGCTGAACACCAGTTTTATTTGCATGAAGTGTATCTAATAAAACCAGTATTAGTTTTGACAATGAAAATCAACCATCAGTTGTACACTACTTTAAAACTTGATGATTTAAAAAGTCTTTTATTTCATCTCAGATTTTTCTGTTTGTATAAAGATAATTTTATGATAATTTGTATAACTGAGTATAATTATAGTTTAAAATGTTGACATTCAGATTTTATATGCTGCTATTCTGTTTAAGGTTTCAAATGAAATATTTTTTCTTTTTTTATTGTGTTAAATAAAATACATATTAACATAAAGTTTACCATCTCAACCATTTTTACAGTTTAGTGGTATTAAATACATTCACATTGTTGTGTAGCCATCACCACCATCCATCTCCATAATTCTTTTCATCTTGTAAAACTGAAACTCTATACCTATTAAATAGTAACTCCCCCTTCTGCCCTCCGCCCAGCCTCTGGCAACCACCATTATACTTTCTGCCTCTGATTTTGACTACTCTGAGTACCTCATATAAGTGGAATTGTACAGTATTTGTCTTTTTCTAACTGGCTTATTTCATTTAGCATAATGTCTTCAAGGTTCATCCATGTTATAGCGTAGGTCAGAATTTCCTTCCTTTTTAAGGCTATATTATTCCATTGTATGTATATACCACATTTTGCTTATTCGTTCATCTGTTGATGGACACGTGGGTTGCTTCCATGTTTTATCTATTATGAATAATGCTGCCATGAACATGGGTGTATGAGTATCTCTTTGAGACTCTGCTTTCAATTCTTTTGGGTCTATACTTAGAAGTGGATTTGCTGGCTATTTCTATTTTTAGTTTTTTGAGGAACATTCATTCTGTTTTCCACAGTGACTGTACCACTTTACATTTCCACCAACACTGCACAGGGTTCCAATTGCTCTATATCTTTGTCAACACTTGTCTGTTTTTTTGATAGTAGCCATCCTAATGGGTGTGAGGTGGTATCTCATTGTAGTTTTGAATTGCATTTCCCTAGTGATTAGTGATGTTGAGCATCTTTTTGTGTGCTTATTGGCCATTCGTATATCTTCTTTGGAGAAATGTCTGTTTAGGTCCTTTGCCCATTTTTGAATTGTTTTTTTTTTTATTATTATTACTGAGTTTTAGGAATTCTCTGTATATTCTGGATATTAAACCCTTATCAGATATATGATTTGCAAATATTTTCTCCCAGCTTATGGGTTGCCCGTTTACTCTGTAGATAGTGTCTTTTGATTTACAAAATTTTAAAATTTTCATCAAGTCCAGTTTGTCTATTTTTTCTTTTGTTACCTGTGCCTTTGGGGTCATATCCGAGAAATTATTGCCAAATTCACTGTAGTGAAGTTTTTGTCCTATGTTTTCTTCTAAGAGTTTTATTGTTTTAAGTCTTACATTTTGAGTTAGTTTTTGTATATGGTGTTAAGTAAGGGTTCAACTTCATTCTTTTGCGTGTGGATGTCCTGTTTTCTCAGTACCATTTATTGAAGAGACTCCTTTCTCCATTGAATGATCTTGGCACCCTTGTGAAAAATCATTTGACCATATGTGTATGGTTTATTTCTGGGCTCTTATTCTATTCAGTTGGTCTATATGTCTGTCTTTATGCCACTACCACACTGTTTTGATTACTGTAGCTTTGTAGTAAGTTTTGAAATCAGAAACTCTGAGTCCCTTAGTTTTGTTCTTCTTTTTCAGGATTGTTTTGGCTATTCAGGTTCCCTTGAGATTCCATATGAATTTTAGGATAGATTTTTCTGTTTCTGCAAAAAATGTCATTGGGATTTTGACAGAGATTTGATTGAATCTGTATGTCACTTTGGGTAATGTAGACATTTTAACAATATTAAGTCTTCCAATCCATGAATATGGGATGTCTTAATTAACTTATAATTTAAAATGTTGAAATTCAGATTTTATATGCTGCTATTCTGTTCTAGTTTTCAAATGATATTTTAAATAAAAAATATTGATAATACATTGAAGATTATTGCCCAATGACTGAATTCCTTGCATGGAATTCTGCTCTCCACCATGTTAATGCTTACTTATAAATATTTGTAATTTAGTTTGTAAAATATGCTTCTTTCTTTGCATGGTATTGAATGGCACTTTGTCATATTGACTAGTGTTAACTTTGTTTTGATGGTTACACTGGAATTTGTTTTTATACTAACATTGGGGTGCATGCTATGGAACTATTTTGCAAGTGTGGTTGTATGTAATATATTCACAATATTTTTGGTAATTAAATCCCTTTAAGTGAGGTGTCAAACCTCATTATACTTGATTACGTTCTACAATGGAAATATTTTAGCATATTATCAATAATATTTATGTACTTATTTAACAGAAGTATAGTGAGTGTCTAGATATGCCAGGCATTGGTCTAGGCACTGTGGAGATAAGCAGTGAACAATATAACGTTCTTGCCCTATTGGGGAAGAGATCAAGATGTAAAGTGATATAAAGATAAGTGCTATAAAAACCTCATCTCATCTTACTGTTTAGCGTTGGAATGCCCTTGGAGCAGTCCTTGGTTCTTCCTTTTTCTATCTAGACCAGATCCGTGTTGATCTCATTTAGTCCCAGAGGTTGAATATTATATGTATGCTGAAGGTTCTCAAATATGCATCTTCAGCTCTGTTGCTCTCCAGTTGCCGACTTGAAATCTAATGGTGTCTAATATATGTGTGAAACTTAACATGTCTAAAAGTGAACTTTTAATCCTCTGCCCCAAACTTAATCCACCTATAGTCTCCCGTCTCAGTTAATCTAATTCTTTCTCCACTTCCTTGGGCAGAGATATCTTTCTTTTATATACCACCTCCAATCTGTAGTAAATTCTTTATATGCAGACTGTAACTAGAATCTGACCACTTTTTACCATTTCTAACATACTGCCCTTACCCAGTGCATTATGATGTCTTGTCTGTATTAATGGCCTTGTCACTGCTCTCCCTGCTTCTACTTGTTTTCTCTGCAGTTTCTTCTCCATGTGGCAGCTACAGCGGTCCCTTTAAAATAGAAGCCAATCATGTTATTTCTCTGCTCAAAACTCTTAGTATGGGGGCCGGCCCCGTGGCCAAGTGGTTAAGTTTGTACGCTCCGCTTCGGCTGCCCAGGGTTTGCATCCTGGGCGTGGACATGGTACCACTCGTTAGGCCATGTTGAGGTGGCATCCCACATGCCACAACTAGAAGGATCCACAACTAAAAAAATATACAACTATGTACTCCAGGGATTTGGGGAGGGAAAAAGCAGGAAAAAAAAAAAAGACTAGCAACAGTTGTTAGCTCAGGTGCCAATCTTTAGGGGAAAAAAAAAAACTCTTAGTATGTCTCTCCATTTCACTGAAAATAAAAATCTAAGTCCTTACAGTTTCCTACAAGGTCCTTTTTCTTCTGTCTCTCTCTACCCCTTTCCCTGCCTCTGACCTCATCTTCTACTACTCTCCTCCTCCATCCCTTTCTGTTCTGGAAGGGTGGGGCATGCTCCTGCCTAAGGCTTCTGCACTTGCTGTTTCTTCTGCCTGTAATGATCTTTCTTTGGACAGATGCATAATGGGTGTTCTTACCTCCTTTTAAGTCTTTGCTTAAATGTCTCCTTTTCAATGAGACCAGCCCTCATATCTTACATCAAATTACACCCCCTTTTTGACACTCCTTGCTTTATCCCTTCACTGCTTTATTTTACTTTCTAATACACTGTATCATTTACTTATTTATTTTGTTTTTTGTCTATCTCCCCTTGGTAGAATGTGACACCCATGCGGCCAGGATTTTTGTTTGTCTTATTTTCTCTTTCTTCAGTACTCACAACAATGTTTGGGACACTGTTGTTGAATGAATCAGAGACCTGCATGAAGTGGGAACCGAATTTGACAAGTATCTTGAGAAAAGCATTCTAAGCGGAGGGGAATAGCAAGTGTAAATACTCTCAGATGGAATCCAAAGAACAGTTGGAGGCCAGTCTGCTTGAAGTTTGGGGAGCAAAAAGGAGAGTAGTGGGAAATGATGTCAGAGAAACAGCCAGTGGCTAGTTCATTTGGGCTCTTATAGGCCTCAAATCCGTAGTAAGGACTTTGGCTTATATTTAGACCTTTCCAGGCACTCTGAAGATGACTAAGTTATTCTCATTTAACAGTTGATATCAAGATACACATTTAAAAAAATAATGTTTACACATTTCAGAGTAGAATCAAAGCATTTTCCCTTTTTTTGCTGGGGAATATTCACCCTGAGCTAACATCTGTTGCCAGTCTTCCTCTTTTTTTGCTTGAGGAAGATTAGCCCTGAGCTAACATCTGTGCCCGTCTTTCCCCCATTTTGTATGTAGGTCGCCGCCACACCGTGGCTGATGAGTGGTGTAGGTCTGCACCTAGGATCTAAACCTGCAAACCTGGGCCTCTGAAGTGTAGTGCACCAAATTTAACCACTATGCCCCGGGGCTGGCCCCCAAAGTGTTTTACTAAAGCCTCGTTTTTTTTTTTTTTTTTTTAAAGATTTTATTTTCTCCTTTTTCTCCCCAAAGCCCCCGGTACATAGTTGTATATTCTTCGTTGTGGGTTCTTCTAGTTGTGGTATGTGGGACGCTGCCTCAGCGTGGTTTGATGAGCAGTGCCATGTCCACACCCAGGATTCGAACCAACGAAACACTGGGCCGCCTGCAGCGGAGCGCGCGAACTTAACCACTCGGCCACGGGGCCAGCCCCAAGCCTCGTTTTTAATTGTAAGAATTTCTCTATGATTAGTCTTCAGCTGTTCAGCAGTCTTTCTAGATTGTTATATCAGAAACTTTTTTTGAGGGGGAAGACTGGCCCTGAGCTAACATCTGTGCCCATCTTCCTCTGTTTTTATATGTGGGATGCCACCACAGCATGACTTGATCAGTGGTGTGCAGGTCCACCCCCAGGGTCTGAACCCTGGGCCCCCACAGTGGAGCCTGCAACCTAACTACTGCACCACTGGGCTGGCCCTGGAAATGTTTTTATTTTAAGTTCAATCAGTCACTCTGCCTGAAAAGGAAAGATTTCTAGGTAAAATTTTCATTTTATATAAGCACCTTAATATCTTTAGTTTTATTGGTTAAATATCAAAGTGTTATGTTGAAAAATAACTTACGGATTTAAATTTTTTTATTTTAATGGATTTTTGATATTTTTCATGATAAATTTTTCAATTAACTAGGTAACATTAGTTAGATGTATATAGCGGAATATATTTTATTTGGATAGAATCTGAAGGCAAAAGATTTGGGTTTGAGCCCTGAGCATGTTAATTAATTTCTAGTAGCTCCCATTCCCTTATATGTAAAAATACATGATATTATCTGTTGAACACTGTGGAAATAGTTGCTACTCTTAGGAAAATCATAAAAGAGATGGGACTAATGTCAGCAGTAATTTGGGATTTTAGTAGATAAAATATTGGTGGGTATTTAGTTAAGTGCTTTCCTACTTAAAAATTGTGCTTCATTTTATCAAATGTGCTTCATTTAAAATTTGTTTTAATGGGTTGTTTGAAGGATAAAATTTAAAAGTAGACACATTCAGGGCAAAATTTTTTCTTGCTCCTGCTTTATTATTAACTATTATATGCTAGAATAGTTAGAACACTTACATCATTTTTATTCACTCATACTGTTAAAATAGTTTTCTGACTCTCTCTATCTACCAGTTTCATGAATTCATGACTTTGCATTTGCTGTCCCCTTTGTTTGAGTATCCTAACTCTCTTCCCTTCCCTTGCCTCAGCCCTCCTTCACCAGACTGAGTCCTGCTCATCCCGCAGAGCTCGGGTCTACTGGCTGCCTTCTTAGGAAATCTTCCGCTAAGTGCTGTGTCTGGGTTTGGTGTGCTTTCTGTGTTTTCTCACAGCACTGCGTGTCTGTCTCTGGTGCAGTCTTATCTCATAGTGTTGTATTGGTTTCCATTTACCGTCTCTGCTCGTGCACTCTTGAGCTCTTTGAGGGTGAGGAGTGAGTCTTTGATGTCTGTCACCAGTACCCGACTGAATGAGTGAGTTTCAAAAGCTCAATGAAGCAAACATAGTTAGATTTGAAATCTTCACTGCCTTCCCACAGGTTATTATTTGGGAGGTCAAGTCCAATCATTATGGGATGAAAATTAGTACTTATATTGTTGTAACCTATATCTCAATTCAGTTCTAAAAGTTTTTCACCAGTTTTTTCATCTTTAAAAGTTCAAGAAGTATAACGTCAGTTTGGCAAGCACTTTTTAATGCCTTACTTCTAGTTGCCTAGTTTTTTTTAACTTTTAGTTCTCTGTCAACCTATTTACATTCTACTGAGAGTAGAGCTCTGCCTGCTCATCACAATTTGTGATTAATTCATTTAATGCTTTTTGTTTGATTTATTCATCTGCCCCACTGGAATGTAAGCCTCATGGACCATATCTATTTTGTTAAGCATTTTATCCCCAGCATTAGTGTACAATAATTGTGATACTGTAGTGCATTTTTGTAGCTCTCAAGTGCTTGTGACTGTAGCTCACTTGGACTGAAGGTAGAGACTCTGTCATTGATCTACCAGACCAGGTCCCACTTTCCAGGGAACCAAGAATCCAGTGATGATAATGTAGTTTTCATATGTAAGCAGATTCACTGAGGAAGTGAGAGTCTGGAGATATGGGGAGAATTGGAGGGCAAGGTTATATATCTGTATCTGTCAGTAGAAGGAAGAGGATCATTCATATTGGGACCAAAACAAATCGTTATCATGATCTGGATATAAACTAAACTGATAATGATGAGGTAAAACTGACAGTGTTTAAAGTTAAAAAGGGATAATATAAGCAGTTTGGAATTCCGGTGAAATCAAGGGAAAATTGATGAAGCAGTGAAGCAAAGCATCTGTTCTGAGTGTTTGATTGCAGCTGTCCACGTGTCGGCATGCCCCGTGGTAGAACACTGAATTGGAGTCTTCCAAAAACCCCATGGATAGACAGGATTTTAAAAAAATATGTAAACAAATTTTAGAGAGACATTACAGCTCACTTGGCAGGTACTTACATAGGCCGCCCTTACTACCTAAAAATGAAAGTATATGGGCTTGCACCTTGACCCACAATAAAACAAGAAAGGACCAGCATATTTGGATTTATCCATAGTTTCTTAGATGGTGCTGTAGAGGATGGGGCCCATCGTGGGTGCATTGGTGTTCTGTTGTATGATTATGGGCAGAATTGAGACTGTCTGACACACAGTTCTGAAAGATTTTTGCCTGAATTTATGTGGTCAAAGCAGTGTATAGCACTAGTGGCAAATCACACAAAAAAATTACTTTGGAATTAAACAGAATTGTGTTTAAGCTCTAGAAGCTTTCCAGGATAGCTCTTTGGATTATAGAAGCCATATAAATACTAGGTTTGAATTTGTAGTAAACTAAATGGCAAATTTCAGAGATTTAAAGTTAGATCATTTGTAAGTATACTGAATGTTTTGCTTAACATAACATTATACATCTATTAATTTAAAAATGTTTTTGTATTCCCTAAAGGGCGATTACTCAGAGCCAACCAGATTAGTTTCAACTGGGACAGGCTCGCTAGCTGGATCAACCTTACTGAGCAGTGGCCATACCGAACTTCATGGCTCATATTATATTTGGAAGAGACTGAAGGTATTCCAGACCAAATGACATTAAAAACTATCTACGAAAGGTACTTTGACCTCTTTATATTTAACTTTTTAAAAAAAATTTAACTTTATCTTAGATTGAGTTGACTTTTCAGAAAAAACTTAATACATTTAAAGCAAAATAAGTAGAAAATAGTATGTATAATATGTACACTTTTGGATTCAATTAATCACTCTCGTGAATCCCATTATAATTTTGTTGTATTAGCACAAGTGTATGTCCCGTCATGTAAAGTTTACAGCTTTTTTGGATATATTCCTTTGTCAGTGTAACCTATAAGATAAAAAAATGTTTAATTAATAGTCCTATTGGCTTTGTGTATTTATATCCATGAGATGCAAACCTTAAAACATTGTTTCCATTTTATTTTTTAGTGTGTCTTCCTGGAATATTAACGAGGTTATGTTTTCTAAATCATTAGTGCAGGTATTTTCACAGGAGGTGCAGGAGGATCTTGGGAACTGTGAATACTGGCTAGAAAACTTTCTTTACATTAAACAATAAAGGAATTTTTATTGTCAGTTATTTGAAGTACTTTTAAAATTTCTACTTCTAGTAAAGAAATGATTAAATTTTTTCTTGAAAGACATGCAGTTAGGGCTGGCCCGGTGGCTGAGCGGTTAAGTTTGCACGCTCCACTTTGGTGCCCAGGGTTTTGCTGGTTTGGATCCTGGGTGCAGACATTGCGCTGCTTATCAGGCCATGCTGAGGTGGCATCCCACATGCCGCAACTAGAAGGACCTCCAACTAGAGTATACAACTATGTACAGGGGAGCTTTGGGGAGAAGATGGAAGGAAAAAAAAAAGAAGATTGGCGACAGATTTTAGCTCAGGTGCCAATCTTAAAAAAAAACGGTCATTGTGAGGATTGCACATTTAAAAAAAAAGAAGGGCTGGCGTGTTGGCGCAGTGGTTAAGTGTGCATGTTCCGCTTCGGCAGCCCGGGGTTTGCTGGTTTGGATCCTGGGTGCGGACATGGCACTGTTTGGCAAGCCATGCTGTGGTAGGCATCCCACATATAGAGGAAAATGGGCATGGATATTAGCTGAGGGCCAGCCTTCCTCAGCAAAAATAGGAGGATTGGCAGCAGATGTTAGCTCAGGGCTAATCCTCCCCCCCCAAAAAAAAGACATGCAGTTAAGGCTCAGTGACATGTCGAGTATATAAAGTTTTAAGAGTTACCAATTTCTTGTCAAATTCACACATAAAATTATAATCCTTTTTGTTTACCAGAACACTTAATACCTTCATGGTTTTCAGTTGCTACTCTAAATAAATTGTTAGAAAAAAGATAATACAAGGAAACTATGCAAACAATTTTATGAAACTTTGGTATAATTGAAAGTATTATTTTGAACATGTAAGTAAAATATTAAAACTGATAGCATTTAGTGAATAATTCGTATATTAAAACTTTTAAATTTCAAATAATCTTTCTTTGAGTGTTGTCAGCCTATGATTTTCCTTACTTTCCAACCCCATTTTTTGTGTATATATTTTATTTAATATTTTTTTAGGTGAATAACTAGTTTTAGAATTATAGAGGATGGTTGTAGTATTAGCCTGCAGATTTGAGCTCCTCTCAGTTTTGCAGTTCAATTTATGGTGAACTCAACCAGTTTACACTGGGTGTGTTCTGTCAAGTAGGCGTTGCAGTGGGTGCCAGTGACACAGAATTGCCATAGGCCTGGAGAGCAGTGGACTAAATTGCGTCTGCTCTTTGGTACTTTAGGAATCATCTTGTGAGATACATGGTTGGTTTTTCCCTCAATTGTGTAGTAAAATATTGGTTTATTTCATGAATAAACGTTTGTGTCACAACAAGGTGCTGTGTGATTATGAATGTTTGCTAGATGAGCACAGTTATTATTAAACAGTTAAAAGTTAACCTTTTAAAAGTTTCAACTTCTTAATAATAATTCATACCTATATAATGGTCTTTATTTTTCACATGGTGTATTTTTACATAAAGCCCTAATTAGCGTGGACAGGTAATCCTTATCCTTGAGAAATGGTAGTTATTCTTTGTGTGTAAATAAACAGATGTCAGAGAAAAGGATAAGCTTTCATTTAGGAACTATGAACTGGATTCTTAAGAGTCTCTCTGAATTGGTACTGTTTCTAGAGTAACATTTGGTTTCAAGAAATGTGAAAATGTGGGAACAGGAGAGCTGGTTGTCTCTCAAGCGTCCTTGTGTAAGGAGGGGAAGTGCTCAGCGTTAGCATTTGCCCCTTTGGCATACGTATCACCAACCTTTCTTCCTCACTGTCGGGTTCTCTGCGAGGTGCCTTAGTACTCATGAACCTTTATGAAGGTCAGTCAGGTGGTTAGAATGGTCCATGTTGTTAACAAGGGACATTGTGGTTCAGAAAGTTTAAGTGACTTTCTAAAGTCACTCAGCTCTTAAGTAGCAGAGCTGTTTCAATCCAGCTCTTTCAGACTCCATCAACTACTGATGTCCTGGTCACTGTTCTAAACACTTCACATTTTAACTCCTTTTATTCTCACAATCTGTGAGGTAGTAGGTACTATTATTCTCATTTTACACACGAGAAAGTTGAAGCCCAGGGAAGGTAAGGCTCTTGCTGAAAGTCTTACAGCCAATAAATGGTAGAGTTGGGGTTTGAAGTGAGGCAGTCTGGCTCCAGAGTCGCTGCGCTGAGTGTACTGTGCTGCCTTTCATGACAGGGTGCTTTCATCTGGGTTTCCTTAAGCTCTGGCATTGTCTGAAGTGCTTAAGAAATTGAAATTTTAGGATGAAATTAAATGTTGGAAGTTTTTACATTTTTGTGTTCCCCATGTCTTTCTAGAATATTATAAGATAGTAATATTCTATTTAGTATTTAATATATAAGATGTTTAATATAAATTGTCTTTAGTCCAAAAACAACTAACTTATTAAGCAGATGTTGCTATATTATTTTTTCTACAATTTTTCTTTGCCTCCATAAAAACATTAGTTTTCTCTTTTTAAATAGTTATCACCTTTTTCAGTTTTCCTTTTTTCCCCCATATCTATCTATCTGTCTGTCTGTCTATCTTTTAATAGAGTAAATAGTCCATGTCAGTCTTTGGTTTGGGTATAGAAAGGACTCAAGTCAGTCTCTTTACCTTCCTTTAATTGAATAGAAGGCTTAGAAGTATACTATGTCTCAGGATTACAGAAATGTTGATCAGTTGTCACGTTTCAAAGGCTACCTGCTTGGAGTCCTGGCCCTGGGCCCCCTGCATGTTCTGTGAAGAGGGTAGGAAGTGGTGAGAGAAAATCTGTGTTCCTAGGAGATAGAAGCAGGAGAGATGTGAAAATAAAGAAAAGCTTTTTAAATCACTCAAAAATATTCATATTTAAGTTCAATCAAACAAAAATTTACTAAGTGTCTACTATTTGCAGGTCCTGCTTCTAGATGGAGATGTAATGATGAACAAGTACATATGTATTTACTTTTTGATCCAACAATCCCACTTACAGAAATTTCTTTTGAGCATACGCTTGCATGAATACAAAACAGTACTTTACAGATTCTTTATTGTGACATTATCTGTAGCAACATAACTCAGTGCACACTTATAGGAGCATTGGTTGAATAAATTGTGGCATATCCATGATAATAGAGTATTTTGTAGCTGTAGAAAAGAATGAGGAAAAACTGTCATTTGATATGGAGGAATTCCAGGATATATTATTAAGTGAAAAATGCAAAGCGCAAAAGAGCATATAATATACATTCTGCTGTTTCTGTAGAAAGAAGGAGGAGGGGCTGGCCCCAGGGCCGAGTGGTTAAGTCTGCCTTCTCTGCTTTGTGGCCCAGGGTTTCGCTGGTTTGGATCCTGGGCACGGACATGGCAGCGCTCATCAGGCCATGCTAAGGTGGCATCCCACATGCCACAACTAGAAGGACCCACAAACTAAAAGTATACAACTATGTACCAGGGGGCTTTGGGGAGAAAAAGGAAAAAATAAAATCTTTAAAAAAAAAAAGGAGGAGGAATAAGAACATTCATATATAAATATGTACATTTTTTTTTTCATAAAAATGTAAAGCAAACCCACGGGAATGATAAACCAGAAACTTATGGAAATGTTTACCTATAGAAGATGCTTAGATGGGAAATAAGACATCTCGGAATATACATTTTTATATAGTTTGACTTGCAAGTCATATTCGAAAAATAAAATTTAAGAAGATGAAAAAAAGCAAACCCTAATATTGAATACAGACAGAAGTAAAAGATCCTAACTGTACATGAACTTGGTAACATAACCACACAGAGAAAATACTTAATTCAAGCACCTTTGAGCTCAGTACTCCGACTCTATTCTTAGTAGAATATATTCTGAGGACAAAATTAACTGCAGAGAAATCTTGAATTTAATAGGTTTGTTGGTAATAGTATTGTTATTATACTTCTGAAATCCTTTTGAGTGTATCGTAGGATAGAGTAAATGAATAAATAGATATTTTTGGGAACCAGTGTTTTCCCATGGGAAAGGGGAGATATAAATATTGAATGGGAGAAATTGAGGAAGAACACTATGGTATTAGATTGGATTTGGAGATAGTAAGTATTAACTCATAATTTTTAATGAGATTTTTCTTAGCTCTGTCCATCAAAAGGGCCTAGAAGCAAAAACACCTCAAAATGGTGAGCACACCTGGAGCCTGGATCTTGGTTTCCAGTACTGGGACTCCTTGGAGGAGGGTCTAATTCCAGGTATAAGGCAGGGAAAGCTCAAGGGGAGCCTGCATTGTTGTGCCAGAAAGTATGGAAGGAAGTGTTCAAATGCAGTGGAGTCTGGACAGAAGAGCACAGGACCTAGCTTGAAGGAGCACCTTTCCAATTTGGGCCCGTTTGAGCATCACAAAGAAAAATGGTAGTAATGGATTATAACATATCAAAGAAAAATTCACGAGTCCATAGTAATACTTAGAAGAGAGGAAAAAAAGATTAGTTGTTTCTTTTTAAATTATAGGAAAATGCCAGCTAATAAATGTAGAAAGAATGAGTGAAATAGAAAAATC